GTCTTGAAAGACTTCTGGAGATGATACAGAGCTGATACAGACATTGATGATGGGGCTGTTTCTTCATTGCTCAGGAGAAAATAATTGTTGGATGGTTCTTACAGGCAACTAAACTTTTATTTAGAGAAACAAAGTAATTAGGAATATAAGAAGTGAAGTGTGTCTTAATAGGCCTTCACTTATTCCTATTCTATCTAGTGTTCTATTTTAGCTATGTAAAATACCACACTAGACTGGATACGTGGTGGCTCATGCCTTTAATCCCATCACTTTGGGAGCCAAGGTGGGGAGATGGCTTGAGCTCAGGAGTTTGAGACCAGCGTGGCCAACATGATGAAACCCTGTCTTTACTAAAAATACAAAAATTAGCCAGGCATGGTGGTACGCACCTGTAATCCCAGCTACTTGGGAGGCTGAGGTAGGAGGATCACTTGAACCTGGGAGATGGATGTTGTAGTTAGCTGAGATCATGCCACCTCATTGCAGCCTGGGTGACAGAGTGAGACTTCATCTTCAAAAACAAAAACAAAAAAAATCTGTGCTAAAGTAAGTTTCTCATAATTTAGATACTTTGCATATAGCATATAAGGTAGATAGAAAGATTTTCTAAAAGTGCTGTTGTATAAATCTTTCTTCATAATTTTCTTTAGTTCATAGTCTTTAGAAACAAAATGAAAGTCCCCAGGCTTTTTGACTAATTTCTGGGAACACAGGGAAATACCATTTGAAGTAGTTCAGAGACATGGACTTAAAGAAAGGTTGCTTAGGGGTGTGACTACTTAATCCTGAAACTGCCTGCTTAAAGAGAGGGAGAAAAACCCAAATGGTTGTTTTAAAAAATAATACCTAATACAAAAATAGGCATATAGACCAATGGAACAGAATAAAGAGCCCAGAAATAAGGTTGCACACCTGTGACCGTCTGATCTTCAACAAAGTTGACAAAAACAAGCAGTGGAGAAAAGACTCCCTATTCAATAAATGGTGCTGGGATAACTGGCAAGCCATATGTAGACAATTGAAGCTGGACCCCTTCCTTATACCACAAACAAAAGACAACTCAAGGTGGATTAAAGACTTAATGTAAATGTACACTTACATTTACTTTAAATGTAAAACCTCAAACTATAAAAACCCTGGAAGACAACCTAGGCAGTACCATCCTGCACTTAGGAATGGGCAAAAATTTTATGACAAAGACACCAAAAGCAATTGCAGCAAAAGCAAAAATTGACAAGTGGGATCTAACTAAACTTAAGAGCTTCTGCAGAGCCAAAGAACCTATCAACAGAGTAAACAGCCCACAGAATGGGAGAAAATATTTGCAAATTATGCATCAGACAAAGGCCTAATAGCCAGCATCTATAAGGAATTTAAACAAATTTATAAGAAAAAAAGACCATTGAAAGTGGGCAAAGGACATGAACAGACACTTTTCAAAAGAAGACATACATGCGGCCAAGAAGCATATGGAAAAAAGCTCAATGTCACTGATCATTAGAGAAATTCAAATCAAAACCACAGTGAGATACCATCTCACACCAGTCAGAATGGCTGTTACTAAAAAGTCAAAAAATAAAGAGATGCTGGTGAGGTTGTGGAGAACACTTAACACAGTTGGTGGGAGTGTAAATTAGTTCAACCATTGTAAAAAGCAGTATGGCAATTACTCAAAGAACTAAAAGCAGAACTACCATTTGACCCATCAATCCCATTACTGGATATATACCCAGAGGAATAGAAATCATTCTACCATAAAGACACATGCATGTGAATGTTCATTGCAGCACTACTCACAATTGCAAAGACATGGAATTAACCTAAATGCCCATCAGTGACAGATTGGATAAAGAAAATGTGGTACATATTCACCATGGAGTACTGTACAGCCATAAAAAAGAATGAGATCATGTCTTTAGGGAACGTGGGTGAAGCTGGAGGCTATTATCCTTAGCAAACTTATGCAGGAATAGAAAACCAAATGCCGCATGTTCTCACTTACAAGGAAGCTAAGTGATGAGAACTTATGAACACAAAGAAGGAAGCAACAGAAACTGGAGTCTACTTGAGGGTGAAGGGTGGAGGTGGGAGAAGAGCAGAAAAGATAACTGTTGGGTACTAGGCTTAATACCTAGATGATGATATAATCTATATAACAAACCCCTGTGACACCAGCTTACCTATGTAATGAACTTTCACATGTACCCCCAAACCTAAAATGAAAGTTTAAAAAAAAGCAAAAAAATTTTATATTTTCATTCATGGTTTCATTTAATGAGTTTTGGATTGACTGTGGCCATGTTGCTGTTATGTCTGTATATAGGGTCTTACATTTAGACATCCAGCCATTTTATGATACTTTCTGGGATATTTTTAAATATTTAAAGGTAACATTATATAAAATAAAAAATCATTGATTTTAGTATTTGTCCCTCTTTAATCAAAGGAGACAATAATCACCAATATTCCAGCTATCCACTATAAACTACTACCTTTTTTTTTCGAGACGGAGTCTCACTGTGTCACCCAGGCTGGAGTGCAGTGGTGCAATCTCGGTTCACTGCAACCTCTGCCTCCCAGGTTCAAGCAATTTTCCTGCCTCAGCCTCCCAAGTAGCTGGGAGTACAGGCGTGCGCCACCATGCCCAGCTAATTTTTGTATTTTTAGTAGAGAGAGTTTTACCATGTTGGCCAGGATGGTCTCGATCTCTTGGCCTTATGATCTGCCCACATCGGCCTCCCAAAGTGTTGGGATTACAGGCGTGAGCCACCATGCCCAGCCTATAAACTACTTTTATTTGTATTCTTCACACATTTTAGAAGGTGAACATGCCTCTTTTTTTTTTTTTTTTTTGCGACAGAGTCTTGCTCTGTCGCCCAGGCTGGAATGTAGTGGTGCAGTCTTGACTCACTGCAACCTGCTTCCTGGGTTCAAGTGATTCTCCTGCTTAGCCTCCCGAGTAGCTGGGATTACAGGTGCTCTCCACCACACCCAGCTAATTTTTATATTTTTAGTAGAGATGGTGTTCCACCATGTTGGCCAGACTGGTCTTGAACTCTTGACCTCAAATGATCCACCCGCCTCAGCCTCCCAAAGTGCTGGGATTACAGGCGTGAGCCACTGCATCTGGCCGTGCCTTTGATAGTATTTTGCTATAGTATAGTATTTTGATAGTATTTTGTGTTATACTGTTTTTCATTTAAGTTACATCATAAATCAACTTTTTCTTTGTATACAGCATAGACTTCACGATGAATTGAAAGTAGGAGACAAAGGTGACTGAGTAGCTGCTGGTACCATTGTCACTGTGGTAGAAAGAACATGAGTGATTATGGTTAGTTAGCTTGTAAGGTAGATTTTTGTATGAGTTTGATTTTAGAGAGACTTGCACAGGTTTATAGCCTGCTGGAGGAAGATTTTTCCAATGCAGAGGAGCAAAGGAGCAACATCTCAGTACTTGGGGAGCTGGAGCAATATGGGACCAGGAGACTTGAATAGAAGGATTACGCCTTTTTCTGGAGTTGAAGGGAATTAGGTCATGTGTTCAGATGTAAATTCCTAGTGACCTGAGGATTTACTGCAACTACTTTTAGTATCCTTTGTAACCCCCGTTACTTGAATATTTATGATATTATTATAATCCATCTGCGTTTAGAATAACCAATTTTTTTCATTCAGCTTAATTTTTTTCAAAAGAAAAGTTTCAAATATACACAAAAGTAGAATAGTATAATGAACCTCCATGAACCCATCATCCAGCTTCAAAAGTTGTTCTGATACCTTTTTAATAATATTTCTTCAGCTTTTAATCATTTAAAAATATTTAACTTTCTAATCCATCTGTGTTTATTTTGCTGGAATTAGATAAAAGAATGCTATTTATTAAGTCAGTAATCTTTATTATATCTCTGGCCTACTAACCTACAGTTTTATTTATGCCAGCATAACATAGTTTTAATTATTTTAATAGGTTTTAAACTCATAAATATTTATAATTAAAATTGCTGCTTACATCAGTATTTAAATTTTATATTACTGTTTAAATATATTTTAATATCTGTAGATGAAGTGTGTGGATATTCTTGGGTATTTATCTTCCTTTTCAAATACTGAGGTGGTAACTCTTAACTAGCCAAAAAAGCTTTGTTGATAAGCTTTTGAAAAATGAAAGCTAAGCCTAAACAATTCCACATATGTATTCATTTATTTAGTAAATATTTATTGAGTAATGTTGTATACCAATATCACATCTGAATAAACTGGTGTAAAAACTTTCTACCTTAAAAGTGTATCACTGGGTCAATCTCTGTGTTTTACTACTGTTTTTAGCTCTACTTTCTCCCTGACTTTTAAATTGGTGATAATTAGGTCTTTTAAAAAACTGCAAATGAATAAAATTGTCTGGGACATCTTATGCATGCCCTGCATCACTCTGGCCCTGGGCCTTTAGGGAAAAATAAAGGACAGTGATATATAGGATAATCATAGATATGGATAGAGTATCTTTTGTTAGCTCTTGACTTAGGATGAAAAATCCATAAATTATTTAGATGTAGAAAGAAACTTTGGAGCCATCTCATCCATTCATTCTTTCCTACACACAGAGAAGACAAGACCTCAAGTAAATGAAGTCAGTGGGTAAGCATATAATAGTATGCTTATTCTTACTGTCTTGATTTCTTTAGACTTGTTTAAACCATTGAGCACCCTGGTATTTGGACCAATATGTGATTTTGTAGCTGGTTTACTTAGCAAGTGAAAAACAGATTAGACTATCTACAGTTTATTGAACAATAAAACTAGTTAATTACTGTCTAGTGGTTCTGTAGACAAGTAGGCTTTCTAAAACTTGGCATGCTGCTTCTTCCGGTATGTTCCTTCCTTCTCCAAAATAAAGATGTTTTTAGTGTAGAAACAAACAAACAAACAAAGAAAAAAGAGATGTTTTTCGTGGTACAGTATTCATGACTTCGTATTTGTTTTTGTCTGCTTCATTACAGGTTCATGTCAGGGCTGGTCTTTTTCATGGTACTGAACTCCTGTGTAAAACCATCGTAAGCTCAGAGGTATCAGGGAAAAATGATCATCTTTGGAATGAACCACTGGAATTTGATATTAATATTTGTGACTTACCAAGAATGGCTCGATTATGTTTTGCTGTTTATGCCGTTTTGGATAAAGTAAAAACGAAGAAATCAACGAAAACTATTAATCCCTCTAAATATCAGACCATCAGAAAAGCTGGAAAAGTGGTAATGATATACTAACTTCCAAGGATTGTTTTATATAGGAATAATTTTAAGACTGTTTGGAATAATTGAGTAATATAAGTTAAATTATATTAGATAACTTTCATTCTTAAAAACTGATTTTAAGAAAATAAAAAATTTTCATGTTTATGTCTTTATATTTAGGTTAATGCATTTATTTATGTTTACGTTTATGCATTTTTTTGCAATCTTGCTCTTTCTACCATGGATTTTCTTTTGGCAGATTTATTTTATAAGTATTTTATTACTTATGTAATACTTTAAAGAAGATATAAAAATGATGATATTTGAAAAATTTACAGTTATGCAGTCTTTCAACTGAAATTTCATGTGACAGATATGTTTAAGAATTCAGAATTTTGTGCATTTTAGAAAGATCATTGATCCTAACTGACTCAACATATCTTGTGGGGTCTGGGGCATAAATACGTCATTAAACGTGTTAATATTTGGAGTGAAATATTTGAATATTCATACTAAATGTGACTATCATTAGATTTTTGTTATCTCTGGCCACTTTTTGCTGTCACGTGAGCTATGAACAAACCTTCAGTTTTTAGAGCTTCTCAGATTTTGAAATTATGGATATAAGAGGATGGACCTGTTGTCATACTTTCATCTTCCGTGTTATGTTTTCAGTCAAGTGTTTCACTTTCTTCTAGCTTTTTGAAAACTTTTTGGTGGGATGGGGACATTAATTTTATACGTTTTTAAAATCTAGTTACTATATTTATCTATATGAATTTGTGTTCTTTTATTCTTTTTTTCTTTTGAGACAGTCTCACGTTGTCGCCTGGGCTGGAGTGCAGTGGCACTATCTCTGCTTACTGCAACCTCTTGTCTCCCGGGATCAAGCAATTCTCCTGCCTCAGCCTCCCAAGTAACTGGGGCTACAGGCGCCCGCTACCACACCCAGCTTATTTTTTGTATTTTTAGTAGAGACAGGGTTTCACCATGTTGGCCAGGCTGATCTTGAACTCCTGACCTCGTGATTCACCCGCCTCGGCCTCCCAGAGTGCTGGGATTACAGGTGTGGCCACTGCGCCTGGCCGTGTTCTTTTATTCTTAATATGGGAATATAAGCATCTCTGGTTATCATCTATAATCGTCTAAAAATAATTTTTAGACTAGGTACAGTGGCTCATGCCTGTAGTCCCAACACTTTGGGAGGCTGAGGTGGGAGAATTGCTTGAGGACAGGAGTTGGAGACCAGTCTTGGCCACATAGTAAGATCCTGTCTCCAAAAAAAAAAAAAAAAGGTACCCTAAAAATAACTTTTAATGACTAAAAAGTCACAGAAGCGTTAGTTCCTTAGTATTTTTTTCTTCCCTGATATAGAATTATCCTCAAAGTGTTTGATTGTAAGATTTTTGATACAAAATGGCAAAATTAATCTATTTAAATGTTTATATAAAAGTCCTCTCAGCTCAATGCCTCCTTTTTAGAGACATATTTATATACCTAGAGACATTATCTCCTTCCACATTGAGATTTATGTAGTCTGAAAGCTCTTAAAACATGTATTCTGATATTGTACGTATTTTCTTGGATTATTAAAAATTTCTCATTTTGGCTGGGCATGATGGCTCACACCTGTAATCCCAACACTTTGGGAGGCTTAGGCAGGTGGATCACCTGAGGTCAGGAGTTTGAGACCAGCCTGGCCTACATGACAAAACCCCATATCTACTAAAAAGGCAAAAATTAGACGGGTGTGGTGGCGGGTGCCTGTAATTCCAGCTACTCAGGAGGCTGAGGCAGGAGAATCTCTTGAACCTGGGAAGTGGAGGTTGCATGAGCTGAGATCATACCACCACTCCAGCCTGGGTGACAGAGTGGGACTCCATCTCAAAAAAAAAAAAAAAAATCTCATTTTCACAAGGCTGTTTATCCATATTCTATCTTATTCATGTACTATTTTATTATGAATTGTTAATTGGGTTTTAAGGTTGTTCTTAAACATAATAAAGATATTGAGCATTTTTCTATGTATATCTTGTTCTTATTTGAGAAGATTATTTTGGAAATCGTCCAGAACTTTCTAGAACTAACATTATTGAAACAAAGGACATGTGCATGTTTACACCTTAAAGTTATTCTTAGCATATTTATGTAATTGTATCTTTTTCAACAGCATTATCCTGTAGCGTGGGTAAATACGATGGTTTTTGACTTTAAAGGACAATTGAGAACTGGAGACATAATATTACACAGCTGGTCTTCATTTCCTGGTAGGATTTACATTCTTATCCTTAGTGTTAAACAGTAACTAACTTTTGGCAAGTGGACTAGTTAATATTTTCTTATGAATCACCATTCTTTCAATTTAGTAAAATAAAATTATCATTTTGTATTATTATTTATTCTAAAACAGATTTACACAAATTATTTTAATGTTATCATAAAATTACTTGTTTCCGAGTAGATTTCTTTACAAATTTTGTTTTGGTTTAAAATCGGCCTATATTGTATTTTATTATTTATTATTTATTGTTTTGTAGAGACAAGGTCTTGCTATATTGCCAAGACTGGTCTCAAAACTCCTGGCCTCAAGTGATCCTCCCAAAGTGCTGGGATTGCAGGCATGAGCCACTGTTATTGGCCTATATTTTAAATGATTATTTTAACAAGTTAGTATTTTAAACATACTTCCAACAAATAATGTACCATTATTTTGCTAGTAACAAGTTAACTCTAGTATTAACAAATTATTAATTTAGCTCATTACAGATTGTCTAGTCTGACCATGGGACATAACTTTTAAGTTTTGTGATGGGTAGCTTTGTCTTTAAATCTTATGCATCTCCGTATTTAGGAATGAAATCGTCTAAATTTCTTTTTTTTTTTTGAGACGGAGTTTCGCTCTTATTGCCCAGACTGGAGTGGCAATAGACTGGAATGGCACGATCTTGGCTCACCACAACCTCCGCCTCCCAGGTTCAAGCGATTCTCCTGCCTCAGCCTCCCTAGTAGCTGGGATATCAGGCATGTGCTACCACGCCCAGCTAATTTTGTATTTTTAGTAGAGATGGGGTTTCTCCATGTTGGTCAGGCTGGTCTTGAACTCCTGACCTCAGGTAATCCGCCCGCCTTGGCAACCCAAAGTGCTGGGATTACAGGTGTGAGCCACCATGCCCGACCAAAATAGTCTAAACTTCTGACTCTTTCAGTCAGTGCTGCCAGGCACACAGTGGGGGAAACCTATTCCTGGGTATATTTCTTATTTTAATGAATGTGTGTTGCTTTCAGCATTTTTTGTCGTTTTTTTTTCCTTTTTCTTTTTTTGAGAAATTCTCCTGAAGAACAGTGTCTTCTTTATAATAACCTTTGTTGCTCCTAATTGTGCTAACTTTCTTCATTAGTAGAAGGAATATTCTCTAATTAGGGAGAAATAGTAAAAACACTTTTTTTTTTTTTTTTTTTGAGAGGAGTCTTGCTCTGTCACCTGGGCTGGAGTGCAGTAGTGCAATATCCACTCACTGTAAGCTCCGCCTCCCGGGTTCATGCCATTCTCCTGCCTCAGCCTCCCTAGTAGCTGGGATATCAGGCATGTGCTACCACGCCCAGCTAATTTTGTATTTTTAGTAGAGATGGGGTTTCTCCATGTTGGTCAGGCTGGTCTTGAACTCCTGACCTCAGGTAATCCGCCCGCCTTGGCAACCCAAAGTGCTGGGATTACAGGTGTGAGCCACCATGCCCGACCAAAATAGTCTAAACTTCTGACTCTTTCAGTCAGTGCTGCCAGGCACACAGTGGGGGAAACCTATTCCTGGGTATATTTCTTATTTTAATGAATGTGTGTTGCTTTCAGCATTTTTTGTCGTTTTTTTTTCCTTTTTCTTTTTTTGAGAAATTCTCCTGAAGAACAGTGTCTTCTTTATAATAACCTTTGTTGCTCCTAATTGTGCTAACTTTCTTCATTAGTAGAAGGAATATTCTCTAATTAGGGAGAAATAGTAAAAACACTTTTTTTTTTTTTTTTTTTGAGAGGAGTCTTGCTCTGTCACCTGGGCTGGAGTGCAGTAGTGCAATATCCACTCACTGTAAGCTCCGCCTCCCGGGTTCATGCCATTCTCCTGCCTCAGCCTCCCGAGTAGCTGGGACTACAGGTGCGTGCCACCGTGCCCAGCTAATTTTTTGTGTTTTTAGTAGAGACAGTATTTCACCGTGTTAGCCAGAATGGTCTTGATCTCCTGACCTCGTGATCCACCCACCTCAGCCTCCCAAAGTGCTGGGATTACAGGCTTGAGCCACCGCACCTGGCCTAAAATGCTTTTTCTGTAGTTGGCTTTAGCCTGAAATTTGATGTAAGCGGAGCACCTTCCACACACACCTTTATTTCTCAAATACTACTGAGAATACCCTCATCACATGAGGTAGATGGTTTTATTTTCACTTTTACAGGTAAGTGAAGCTCAGAGAAAATAAGTGAGTCTAAAATCTTCCCATTGGTCTACACTGCTTTCTCAAATGTTGGAATTTTTAGTGTAAATCTTACATTATAATAGTGGTTTTCTTTTTCTTTTTTCCTGTCTTTATAGTTTGTTGATATATCTAGTAAAGTTGTGAACTAATTTGAATTTGAATTTTTTAATTCATGGCTTTGTAAGTAACATTTGAAAATGTTCATGTACTAGCAGTTGTCACCTGAAAAATTATTTTTGGATAATCATTTACTGACATATTTATAAACTCTTTGCAGTCTAATAGTGTGTGTGTATGTCCTTTTATTCCTATGTTCTCCAGCATGTACCTCTAGCAATTTTCATTATTTATGTTATTCCCCAAATGTAGGAGAGCTGTGTATATTTGACGTATTTCTTTTTTTGTTTGTTTGTTTGTTTGACTCAGGGCCTCACCTTGTCACCCAGACTGGAGTGTAGTGCCTTGAACACAGCTCACTGTAGCCTTGCCTTCCCGGGCTCAAGTGAGCCTCCCGCCTCAGCACCCCAAGTACTTGGGACTACAGACATCACCACACCCGGCAAATTTTTTTTTTTTTTGTATTTTTTGTAGAGACAGGGTTTCACCATGTTGCCCAGTCTGGTCTCGAACTCCTGAGCTCAAGTGATTTTTACCTCCTCAGCCTCACAAAGTGCTAGGATTATAGGTATGAGCCACTGCTCGCAGCCTATTTGACATATTTCTTAGGAGGAACTAAACTTTCACAATACAATAAAATATAGCCCCAAAATACTATATTTTCTTGAAAATCTTAATTTTGACTCACACATGTTCTCCAGAATCACCAACCAACTTGACTAGTATTTTTAGTAAAAATTAAAATTTTTGGTGGTGTTAACTTGGCATAATACTATGAACCTGACTTCCTCTCTGAGAAAATGTATGATAAAAAATAATAAATGAACAGAGTTAGTTCTGCATGTGTCAGCTCTAGAATTGTTACATTTAACCCAGTAGGGACAAGCAAGAAGCAAAGAAACCACAAATAGTCTGTCATCTAGAGTCCCTAAGTCATCATTACAAGGTATATAATCACAATTTTTTTTTTTCCCCTAACTTTCCGTAATTTTTTTTTTTTTTTTTTTTTTTTTTTTTTTTTTTTTTTTTTGAGACGGAGTCTCGCTCTGCCACCCAGGCTGGAGTGCAGTGGCCGGATCTCAGCTCACTGCAAGCTCCGCCTCCCGGGTTCACGCCATTCTCCTGCCTCAGCCTCCCGAGTAGCTGGGACTACAGGCGCCCGCCACCTCGCCCGGCTAGTTTTTTGTATTTTTTAGTAGAGACGGGGTTTCACCGTGTTAGCCAGGATGGTCTCGATCTCCTGACCTCGTGATCCGCCCGTCTCGGCCTCCCAAAGTGCTGGGATTACAGGCTTGAGCCACCGCGCCCGGCCCCGTAATTTTTTATGTATGGACTAGGAAATACAAATGTGGATTCCTGTTTTTCTCCCTATACTTACAGAAAATGGCACTTTCGGTATAATGTATAATGTTCTGCTCCTTGCTTTGTTTACCATATCTACCTGTATGGAGAACTGTTTTTTTCCCCCCATGCCTGTGCTACTATAATGAATAACCTTGCTTATGTACAGGTGTATATATGAGATAAATTCCTTAGAGGTGGGTTTGTTGATTCAAAGAATAGATAAATTTATAATTCTTGTAATTACAAATTGCTCCCCAATAGAGTGTATCAATTTTTACTCTCCATGTGTAGTATATATGAATGCCTTTTTTTGCCAGATATGGTGGCTCACATGTGTAATCCCAGTGCTTTGGGAGACTTAGGCAGAAGGATCACTTGAGTCCAGGAGATTGAGACCAGCCTGGACAACATAGTGAGACTATCTCTCCCTATACACACAGAAAAAGAGTGCCTTTTTTTCTGATCACTTTTGAACAAGGTTAAAGGATTACCTCTATATTTGGGGCTAATAAGTACTAAAATACTACATTTGATTTCAGTTAGGTTGCATTTGATAGGACAAAAGTATAATAGTACTAGAGAGCAGAAGTATGAAACTGTAAATTGCTGAGAAATCAGCTCTAGAGGTGTATAAATTATTAGAATTGAGCCAGCTGCAATAGTGTGTGTGTGCTTGTAGTCTCAGTTAACTCAGGAACTTGAGGCAGGAGGATCGTTTGGGGCTAGGAGCTTGTATCCAGCCTGGGCAATGTAGCAAGACTCTGTCTCTAAAAAACAGCAAGATAAAAAAAAAAGAGTTGCCTCCATCCAGGAGAAAATTGAGTCTGGGCTTGGTGTGATTGCTCACACCTGTAATTCCAGCACTTTTGGAGGCTGAGTTGGGTGTATCTCTTGAGCTCAGGAGTTCAAGACCAGCCTAGGCAACATGGTGAAACCCTATCTCTACCAAAAATTTAAAAATTAGCTGGGCATGGTGGCTTGCGCCTGTGGTCCCAGCTACTCAGGAGGCTGAGGTGGGAGGATCACTTGAGCCTGGGAGGTGGAGGTTATAGTGAGCCAAGATCATGCCACTGCACTCTAACCTGGGTGACAGAAACCCTGTCTCAAAAAAAAAAAAAGAAAAAGAAAATTGAGTCTGTGAGGTGAGAAAATATTTATTTAAAAAGGTGAATGAAGAATTAAGGAACAAAAACTTGAAAGGATTTTCCCGCTTTAGGAGATAATTCTGAGTGTGCATACTTTATGGACATTAGACCTAAGTAGAATAGATCTGATATTTTTTTTCCTTAGGAGATACAGAGAGAACAATTGTACTACAGTCAGTATAAGAAAAGAAAAATTACTTTGGAGAGGGGAGATCTTAGATTGTACACCTAACTCTTATTTTCTCATCATGAGTTTCTTATCTGTGAAATAAAAAATTTATAGAATGTGAACTCCAGAGTTTTCTAACTACACTGAAATTCTAAAATCACACACAAAATTCTGTGAATTGACCATATTTAGGGTGGTGGAAAAGGGAAAGGAAGGAGTACCTTGAAGAAAGAAGCAGTTGGTGAGGTAAAAGGAGTGCCACTTAATGGAGTATTCCAGAGGCTACCAGAGAAGGTATTTTCTGTCAGCAGTTACAGGATAATAAAGAGCATTATCATTAGATTTGATAAGAATGTCATTGATGACTTAAAATACCAATTTGGTTATTGTGACAACTATGAAAACCAGACTACATGTGATTAAGAAGTCCATATATAGTGGTAAGATTATAGTTTCTATGGGCCACCTAATTTTGATGGAGGGAGAGCAGTTCCAATTAAAGTATGTTCAAGATTGAGAACTAAATTTGAATAGAGGTAAAGTAGCCATTCAGTTTTGTTAACTTTCTCATTTTTTAAAGATGTATGCAAACTCACACTGAAATTTTGTTCCAAGCATTAACAGAAAATTAGAGGCCTACTGATAGAATTGTCTGTCACACTTCTGTAGTTGACACACTTCTAAGGTAATTTTCGTGAGAGGAGATTCATTACAGCTTTTTAAAGCTTAGTTTTAAAGACATTTTTTAAGAACCAAAATTATTTGCATGTTTTAGATGAACTCGAAGAAATGTTGAATCCAATGGGAACTGTTCAAACAAATCCATATACTGAAAATGCAACAGCTTTGCATATTAAATTTCCAGAGAATAAAAAACAACCTTATTATTACCCTCCCTTCGATAAGGTAAGCTAATTATTTAAAGGGCCACTATGCATGAAATAATTGAATGATTAGTTCCTCTGTGTATAGTTTAAGCTCTGTCTGTCTCAAAACTTCCCAAACAATGACAGCTTTGTTGAGTGGGAAGACCATGGATCAGGGAGCCTTCCTAACTCTGTTAGTTCTGGCTTTATCACTAAGTAAGAAAAGGTACCTCCAGGCCGGGCGCAGTGGGTCACGCCTATAATCCCAGCACTTTGGGAGGCCAAGGCGGACAGATCACCTGAGGTTGGGAGTTCGAGACCAACCTGACGAACATGGAGAAGCCCTGTCTCTACTAAAAATACAAAATTAGCCGGGCATGGTGGCACATGCCTGTAATCCCAGCTACTCGGGAGGCTGAGCAGGAGAATCACTTGAACCCGGGAGGCAAAGGTTGCCGTGAGCCAAGATCGTGCTGTTGCACTCCAGCCTGGGCAACAAAAGTGAAACTCTGTCTCAAAAAAACAAAAAAGACACCTCTGGAGTTCACTTTTCTTATTTACAAAATGAAGAAATCATAATTGTTCTATAAATTTATAAAAAGGGCTATAAATATTTTTATATGTAACTCTGAATATATAAAATGTTCAGTGAAACATGCCCTGCATGTTGTTTCAAATATTAAAGGTATAATCACTGCTGTATTAGAATTGATATTCAAAGAACAATTGATTTTTGTTGAATATGTCTGTTAGTGGCGCTTCCTAATGTAGTTATTTTATAGAATCTATAGTAAGGACTTCATTTCTAAATATATTTCTTTAATATACATACTGCATGTCTTGGGGATAAGGAGATTATCTAATGGGGGCTAAATATAGGGCTATGGTAATTTACAGGCTAAGAGAGCTGAGCTGTCATATATTTTATCTTTAGATTTGGCATGGTGTTTTTTGTTTTAAAAAATGGAGTCTCTCTGTGTCGTCCAGGCTGGAGTGCAGTGGCACAATTATTGAGCCTCAAATTCCTTGCCTCAAGCAATTGTCCTGCCTCAGCATCCTGGGTGCTGGGATTACAAGTGAGAGCCACTGCACCTGGTAGTGTTGATTGTTTTTGTTTTTGTTTTTGCTTTTTTTTTGAGACGGAGTCTTGCTCTTTCGCCCAGGCTGGAGTGCAGTGGTGCAATCTTGGCTCACTGCAAGCTCCACCTCCCAGGTTCACGCCATTCTTCTGTCTCAGCCTCCCAAGTAGCTGGGACTACAGGCGCCTGCCACCACACCAGGCTAATTTTTTGTATTTTTTAGTAAAGACGGGGTTTCACCGTGTTAGCCAGGATGGGGTAGTGTTGGTTTTCATAAGGAAATCTTTGAACAAATTCTCAGAAAATAGGAGGCAGGCACCATGGTTCAAGCCTGTGATCCCATCAACTTGGGAGTCTGAACCAGAAGGATCACTTGAGGCTTGGAGTTCAAGATAGCCTGCACAACTTAGAGAGACCCTTGTCTGTACAAAAACTTAAAAGTTAGCTGGGTGTGGTGGCATGTGCCTGTAGTCCCAGCTAGTCTGGAGACTGAGGCGGGAGGACTACTTGAGCCCAGTAATTTGAGACTGCAGTGACCTATGGTCATGCCACTGTGCTCCAGCCTGGGCAACAGAGAGAGACCCTGTCTCTGGGGGGAAAAAAATGTTCAGAAAATAAGCTGGAAGTTTATTTAATTTCCTCAATCCGCTTGAGTACGAACTGCCTTTGAAGATTGATATTATACTTTATAAATACTTAAAGTATTATGCAAATTAAATTTATGTAATTCACTGTTTCTTTCTTCATTTTCATTATAATTGGATTTTATCCACCTAAGGAGTAATTTTTTATTTCAAGTTTTTTAAATATGTTTTTCTGAACAATAATTTACAACCAGATTAAATTTTGTGCTTATTATAATAGAAATTTCAAATGTGGCAAGAACCACATACCTTAGTATACACTGAGTAGAAAAGCTACATTTTGACTCATCCAATATATTTATGTAGTGTCTTTAGTTATTCCTTCGCTAGAAATTTATCCATAAGCCGTTGCTACTCGTGATACATTTAATAGTCCTAACTGTGACTATTATGTTCGGTTACGATGTGTATTCAACAGTTATAGGCTCTTTTGGCTCAAATGAAATGCTTTTTGAAGTACTTTTACAAATATAGCCTCCTGTATTTGCAAATATAAGTATTTTTAAAGACTATTTCAAGAGAAGTTTTATTTCACCGTTGCTCCAGTCATCTGCAAATGGTCATTAAATATTTCTTTTGCCTTTCTAATCCCTTGGACAGTCTTTCTTGAGGAAGATCAGTTTGGCATAGAGATTTTAGTCTTTAAATATATGTAAGACAGGGACAGCAGCCTTTAGTTGCATCTACTTGAGGCTGAGGTGGGATAATTGCCTGAGTCCAGGAGTTCAAGGCCAGCTTGGGCAACATAGACCCCATCTCAAAAACAAGCAAAAAATGGGTGAATAAGTAAGTATATGCATATTGATCTCCTTTAATTGTACAAGTTAGATATGGTTATCATAATGTAAATAATACAGATGTAAAAACTGAAAGTTTCCCCAAATCCTATTCTTTTTATTTAATATAATGCTTGTTGTAATCATTTGTGTTGTGTTTTGCTTTTCAGGTTAATTTTATGGTTATTGGTTAATTTAAATAGCCATAATCTTATTTTATTCTTATAATCCTATGTAATAGAATGGGAATTATAGCATTTAAAAATTATTTTATTTTTAGTAATTTATTTTTAGTTACTTATTTATTTTTTTTTACAGAGATGAGGTCTCGCCATGTTGCTCTGGCTGGGCTTAGGAAATCCTCCTGCCTTGGCCTCCCACAGTGCTGGGATTAAAGGTGTGGGCCACCACACCCAGCTGATCTAATTATTTACTTATTGATCTTCCTGCTGGACAAATGGGTTTCTATCTTAGCAAGAATGAGGGCCCCCCACTTTGAAGTTAATGAATTTTAACTTATTTTTAGACTTCCCCTTGTCATTACTTCTACTTTTGGTGTCTGTTAATTGAAGAAAAAATGACAAAAGCTTATTCTACAATTTAGTAACTACGTGTTTTTGCGTCTTCTTAACTAGAATACACTTACTTATATTTAAAAGAAAATTTTTGACATATATGTGCTAGCTGGTACTTATTTTATCTACAGACAATTCTAGTGCTTCCTAGGAATCATAATCCCTTATAGTGATACCATCGTTTCCCTGTTGTCAAGAGTTTAAAGCACTTGAGAAGCATGATTTTGCTTTTAAAATTCATGTTTCTGTTACAAAGCATAGCAATGCCAGATCTTATGTAGTCTAAGTATAAATGTAGTCATTTACACTTAAAATTCTACAAATATGAGAGCCAAAATTCATTTTCTTTAATTTTTTTAAACAGATTATTGAAAAGGCTGCTGAGATTGCAAGCAGTGATAGTGCTAATGTGTCAGTAAGTATCAAGAGTTTTAAATGGCCCTTATGGAGTTGTGCACATTATTAGGTATCTTTGCTTCATAGTAATGAACTCACAGAAGATCATAACTCATATGCAAGAACAGTCTGTGAGTCTGGGTAAGTATGCACATAACAGTGTTTTGTTAAATGGCAGCCCAATTTGTGGGTGATCTGGGTTCAGTGGGCAAGCCCTTTTCTGATACAAGTACAGGTTTAGCAGGTAATCTATAAGGGATTCTGTGGCAACTCATAGATTAACATTGCTGTGATAGTGAATATTACTTAGTTTAATGAGGAGACTGTATTTCTCTCAGGTAACAAAGCAGATTTAGTAGTAAGCACACGCATCATCATGCAAGCGACCCAAATTTCTTCCGTCTTGTTGCTCTGCCATATTTAACATGTATTTTCTATTTCATGGTTTAATATTACTGCTTTATCTTCCTACTTTACTATATTCCAGCCAGCAGGAACAGGAAAAACAATAGTAGTGGTCACACCCCATTCTTATTCAGGATATCATTAGTATGTTTCATTTCTGCTTACATGTCATTGGCCAGATCTTACTGTCCATGCCTAAGTACATGCACATCTGAGAGGTTACAGTCTTTAGCCAGGCTGTCAGTCATGTGATTGGCTAAGAGTAAGAGATTCTAGTACTAAAGGAAGAAGTGGAGAATGGATATTGAGAGTCAAATAGTAGTCTCTGCCACATATATTATTCCCATTTGTTTCTACGCAGATACTGCAAATAGGTTACTTTGTTGACTTGGATTGCTAGATCTATATCTATATCTACATCTGTATATCTATATCTACATATATATAAACATATATATACCATCTGTGCTTTTTTATTTAATTTTTGGCTCTTTCTAGTTTGACTTTGTTGAGCTGTAATCCAATAATCTCTTGTCATCCGTTTACAACTTTTAAGTCTGTTTAGCGAAGCCATTCTACCTGTGGCATAGCAGTGTTATAGAGACTAGGAGGCAAACTTGAGACAATGTTTATATTTTTCTCATTCTTACAGAATCAAAGCACTATTTAATTTTGGCCAGTTGGTGAAATATCTGGCCTAGGCTGTCTTCTCCTTTGCCGTTAGAGCTCTCAGAATCTTTCCCTAGTTTCTCAGTGTGAGTCATCTGCTATTGCTTTCTTATTAGTGTTTTTGGCTTAAATTTTGTCTTTTGAATTTGAATGCTTGACCTCAGGAAAGAGAGCAGTAGTGCCAAGCTCCTGGTCTTTACAGTTTATGAAAGGCTCTGGGCCAGTTTGGGACCATAGTAGCCAAATTTTTCCTCCCTCTGTCTTTTTTCCCAGAGTTTTGTGTTATTCAGGTTTCTGGAGACAGTTTCAGATAATAATTTAATTTGCAAACATTGTGCAAATTTTAATAGCCTAAATTATATATATGGCCTGATAAAAATTTGCATGATCAGTTGATGAGACTGGTGTGATAGGATCATTGTGTTTGACGGCTTTTTCTTGCTGAGCATGTAGACTTGAGAACGGCCTGGAAACTCTAAGAAGTAAGAGTTTATTTAAAAACTAAAATAGTAATTTAAAAGTGGAAGCAATCTCAGAGACTAGTTTAAAAAAATGTGTGTTTGTGTATAAATTTTAAAAATAAAAGAAAATCTTTAAAATGAGACAACTGCAAGAGCAGTTACGTTTAATGATACAAAACAAATTTCTTACAGCTGTTAATTTATCAGCTTATTAGGCAATTACTGAAACAGATAATTACAGTTTAAGCTTAGGAGATACAGTTACACAGGCAGGTCTTGGTTCAAGTGCCTCTGTCTCATTACCCTTTATAAGACAATATTGCTCCTTGAACCTCTGATAAGTGAATTAATTTTTACTATTTCCACCATAAACTTGTACCTGACCTAAATCAGAGAGTTCTCTACACACTGAGCATGCAGTAATCTTGCCCAGGTCTGATACACTTTTAAAATTTGTTTTTTTTATTAGGCACAAAGTACAATTAATAAATGGTAAGGGTGGGTGTGAAGGCTCACCTCTATAATCCCAGCACTTTGAGAGGTCAAGGTAGGAGGATTGCTTGAACCCAGGAATTTGAGACCATCCTGGGCCATATAGTGAGACCCGATCTCCACAAAAAAAAAAAAAAAGAAAGAAAGAAGTATTAACTGGGCGTGGTGGCATGTGCCTGTAGTCCCAGCTACTTGGGGGGATGAGGTAGAAGGATAGCTTGAGCCTGGGAATTTGAGGCTAGTATGATAGGGTGAGACTCTGTGTCTTTAAAAAAAAAAATTTGTAAACCAAAAATGGAAGTTTCTCTCTTTGACTCCCACCTACCTTCCTCTCCAGAGCTAACTGTAAACAGTTTAATTTGTAGCTATTAATCCTAACTTTATATGTAAATATCTCCCCCTTTAAAAATAAATGAGATCTAGCTATTTATATGTATATATTGTTTCTACTTTTTTCATTTAATATACTTTGTGGATATTGTCATGTGAGTATGAATAGGTCTACTTTTTAAAAAATACCTTTCTAACATTCTATAGCATTAATTATTAGTATCTATTAGATTTTTCTTTTTTTTTGTTTTGTTTTTGAGACAGTCTCACTCTGTCGCCAGGCTGGAGTGTGGTGGCATGATCTCAGCTCACTGCAATCTCTGTCTCCTGAGTTCAAGCGATTCTCTTGCCTCAGCCTCCCAAGTAGCTGGGAGGCGCGTACAGGCGCGTGCCACCATGCCCAGCTAATTTTTTGTGTTTTAGTAGATATAGGGTTTCACCATGTTGACCGGAATGGTCTTAATCTGTTGACTTCGTGATCTGCCCACCTCGGCCTCCCAAAGTGCTGGGTTTACAGGCATGAGCCACCACGCCTGGCCACATCATGCCCTTTTACCCCTTAATTCTTCAGTATTTCCTTTAAAAAATAGCATTGTTATACATAACCTGAGTACATTCATAAAAGTCAGGAAAATAATACTGATTCAGTTCTATGTAATCTACAGATTTTATTCAAATTTAGCCAGTTTGCTCAGTCATGTGCTTTATGAGTCTTGGATCCAACCTCTGGTTACTTGTTGCATTTCATTGCCAGGTAGCTTTAGTTTCCTTCAGTCTGAAATAGTTCTTCATTGTTTCCTTTTTAATCTTTAATGACTGACATTTCTGAAGACTACAGGCCAATTATTTTATAGAATGTCCCTTAGTTGGGATTTGCCTGATGTTTTGTCATGTTTAGGATCCCAGTTATGCATTTTTAGTGTGAATATCAAAGAAGTAAAGGTGTAGTTTTCTTATTGCATTTTATCAGGAGGCAGTATCGATTTTTACTACTACGCTGGATGTTAACGGTTATCCCTTGGTTAGTACGGTGTCTGCTAGGTTTTTCTACTATAAAGTTAATAAATAAATAAATGTTTTATGGGGGCATATTTTGACACTAACATTCTATTTCAGATCAAGCTGTCACCCACTTCTTTTTGCATTCGCTAATACATCTTACTTGAATCAATGTTACTGCAGTGGGTTGCCAATTTTAAATCTTACTTTTCCTTTTGGATTTATTAGTTGGCTTATAACATAGGATAGAGGCTTTTCTTCTTATCTATCTGTCTGTCTGTCTATCGATCTATCTGTCTGTCTATCTATCTATCTATCTATCTATCTATCTATCTATCTATCTATCTATCATCTATCTATCTTTTTAGAGTCAGGGTCTTGCTCTGTTGCCTGGACTGGAGTGCAGTGGTGCAGGCATAGCTCACTGCAACCTTGAACTCCTTTTCCCCCATTCATCTCTTTTTTCTTTCTTCTTTTTTTTTTTTTAACTTATAGGAAATGGATTTGTGATTTCCATTTTATTCAATGATTTGTAATTAGTTACTGTCATTTATCTTAATGTTTAATTTATCTCAGATGTGGCTCGTGGGAGCCCATTTAAGCTGTCTCTTGTCTCTTTTGCTTTGTCCCTGTCATTCTTTGAGCATTTCCTTCTTTCCATTACAACAGCGTATTCCACACTCATCTAATACTTTCCCTACCCCAGCCTTGGAATCAGGCATTTTTCTGGAGAGTTTCATTTTTTATATTCAGTTTATTCCTTTTATTTGTGAAAAGTATGTAGGGATGGATGGATGGATGGATGGATGGATGGATGGATGGATGGATGGACAGACAAACAAATGGATGGATGGAATGGATTGACAGGGTCTCGCTTTGTTGCCCAGACTGGAGTGCAGTGACACGATCACGGGTCACTGCAGCCTGGACCACCTGAGCTCAAGTGATCTTCCCACCTCAGCCTCCTGAGTAGCTAGAACTGCAAGCACATGCCACTATACCTGGCTATTTAAAAAATTTTTTTTAATTTCTATTTTTTTAGTAGAGACAGGGGTCTCACTTTGTTTCCCAGGCTGTTCTTGAACTCCTGGGTTCAAGCAGTCTTCCTGCCTTAGCCTCCCAAAGTGCTGGGATTACAGGCCTGAGCCGCTATACCTGGCCTTAGTAAGATCTAGGCCCTGGATATGCTGATTGCCCTTGGGTATACGTAAGTAAGTGCTCTTTGGAGAATGCAGGGATGCAATGGCTTCCAGGCCCTCCTGTGAAACAGAGTTAGACAATATATATTTGTTTACCTCCTATGTTTGGGAAAATAAACATACACAGAGATATATTTATCTATTAAAGACCATGAGTTCTTGTCAGTGCCTCTAATATGGATGTATTCACACTGTATATATTCTAGTCTTTGTCTTTTCATATTTGTAATTCCCTTTTCTAATAATGAGAAATCTGGATTTCTATTAGCTTTGGTATATTTACTTATTTGCTCAATCCCCTGTTTGTAATCAGTCTTCTAGTCTTATAACTGTCTTCTTAGTCTCCACCTCATTATCCTTGACTGCTTTGTGTTGATCAAGTCTGTATGTCTGGGCAACACTTAATTAACTCAACTGTCTGTCCCCAACAAGCACACTGTTAACATGCCATCTGAATCTCCAGCCCTTGTGAAGATGACAGATGAGTTTGTGGCCTTCCATAGAGAAGGGAAAGGATGTGTTTTCCCATGTGCTTATAAAGCAAGGTGTTTGTTTTATTTTGGTCAGTAATCATTATAATAATATTTGTGTTTGTGATTTTAAAAAAATAGTAGAAAATAGGGTTGTGATTTTTCATTGCTTTCTACCACTTTTATCATCTTATTTTGGTACAAGGATTTGAACATTTAAGTTCTTCAGTTATACTGCACAGTATAATTTTTCACTACTGATATTTTTGTTGTTTTATAAAATAATCTAAGATTTTGTGTTTTTTTTAAGGCTTTTTGGTAGTTTTAACCTTGGCATTATTCAATGTTGTGCTTTTCATACCTCAATAAACAATAACAGTACAATTATGCAGTTCCACTGCTCTCCCTACATAGCTTATTCTAAGGTCTTCAGGGTATTTACTTACAGTAGTCTGTAGAGGTCTAATTTGGATCGACCAAATTATACTCAGCCTGCTAGCTTTTTGAACATAACAGCTGTCTGCCTTTCTCTGACATGAACAATTTACACTCTGTGTTGTTTGCAATAACAGGTTTGGCTAGGAGTTTCATTTTCAAATTCTGAAGACTTTTTTTTTTTTTTTTGTGAGGCAGAGTCTCACTCTGTTGCCAGGCTGGAGTACAGTGGCGCGATCTCGGCTCACTGCAACTTCCACCTCCCGGGTTCAAGTGATTCTCCTTCTTCAGCCTCCCAAGTAGCTGCGATTACAGGCACGCACCACCATGCCCAGCTAATTTTTGTATTTTTAGTAGAGATGGGGTTTCACCATGTTGGCCAGGCTGGTCTCGATCTCTTGACCTCGTTATCTGCCTGCCTCATCCTCCCAAACTGCTGGGATTACAGGCATGAGCCAACATGCCCGGCTGGTGACATCATTTTTTAATGAAGCCCAGTTATGCACCCTTTGTAGGTTGAATCTCTACATATAAAACTACTATAATTAGGTCTTTCTGTGTTTATTAGCCTTTTTATGTTTATTTTCTTTAGTACAGTGAACCTTAATCTGCCTACTTACAAGATCCCAAGAATTTGGAATTTACTTACTTGACTTGTCTTTGGCTATCTTAAAGAAGATATGGTAGAATGCATCCTCTTTAATTTATTAAAACTTGGAATTCTTCAGCTTGTTAGAACAGAAGCTTTTCATGTTTTTTATGTTTTTTCAATGTTGATATTTGAAAGGGAGTACAGAACATTTGGAAAAATTATTATCTTATGGGAATAAAGTTTTAAAAAATTTGTAAAACTTTTTTTTTTTTTTTTTTAATTTATTTATTATTATTATACTTTAAGTTGTAGGGTACAAGTGCATAACGTGCAGGTTTGTTACATATGTATACTTGTGCCATGTTGCTGTGCTGCACCCATCAACTCGTCATTTACATCAGGTTGTAAAACTTTTTATGGCCAGACACAGTGGCTCATGCCTTCAACACTTTGGAAGGCCGAGGCAGGTGGATTGCTTGAGCTTAGGAGTTTGAGACCAACCTGGGCAGCATGGAGAAACCCCATCTCTACAAAAAATATAAAAATATGGAAAGTGTGGTGATGCTCGTCTGTAGTCCCAGCTACTCAAAAGGCTGAGGTGGGAGGATCGCTTAAGTCCAGGAGGTTGATGAGCCAGATTGTGCCACTGCACTGCAGCCTGGGTGACAGAGAGAGACCCACTGAGACCCTGTCTCAAAATACAAACAAGCAAAACCCTTTTCTAACATAATGGAAGATGAATCTATAATGAAATCCTAAGGGAAACAAGGGTGTTTGACTCGTAACCCTAACCTGTAAAGTTGATGTTTGAGAAGATAATATTTCTTTGTGTCTTTGTCAGTGGTGGACACTAAGCAAGAGATTTCTTGGGTTTGACACAGCGTGTTAATTTGTACTTAAAGAAAATGCAATGGAGCATATTTCACTCTCCATTTCATTTCAATGACCATGAGGGCATGTAGCATACTTCCTTTGACTTAGTTTTCCAGGGTCTGGTAATTTTCCTGTCTTACTAACTTTTATGTCAATTATTCCCAGGTAGCTAATATTTTTAGATACTGGAAAGAAGTCATATATTGATCATCCTCAATTACTAGAATAAATAAGAGATTTAGGCAAAACACCTAGAACATACATGTGTATGTGTGCCTGCCTGCCTGTCTCTCTGCCTGCCTGCCTTTTTCTGTCTACTTAACATCATTTTTTAATGAAGCCCAGTTATGTACCCTTTCTGATATGCTAATCAGAAAACTGATCTCCTAACGATTAGCTTATTTGTGTTTTTCAGGGACCTTTATTCTAGATGTAACTTTTGAATGCTTCCCAAAGATCTCTATTATAGAGAATTTGTGAATTATCTCCTAGTCTGTTTTGTTTAGTTATTTAAGCCTATTATCTATTATAATAGGATATAGCTTGATTCACAATTTTAATGTAAATATGTTAATGAGAAATTTGTTTTTATTTTCTAAATTTTTTAAATTTTTTTTTTTTTTTTTTTTTGAGACAAAGTCTTGCTCTTGTCCCCCAGGCTGGAGTGCAATGGCGTGATCATGGCTCACTGCAACCTCTGCCTCCCGGGTTCAAGTGATTCTCCTGCCTCAGCCTCCCAAGTAGCTGGGATTATAGGCGCCTGCCACCATGCCTGGCTAATTTTTGTATTTTTAGTAGAGACGAGGTCTTACTATGTTGGCCAGGCTGGTCTAGAGCTCCTGACCTCAGGTGATTCACCCGCCTCGGCCCCCCAAAGTGCTGGGATTACAGGTGTGAGCCACCGCGCCCGGCCTTGTTTTCATTTTTTATATTCAGTTTATATATTGTCTGCTCTGTACTAGGGATATACATGGGACGAAGATATCATTTCCATTTTGAGGTGAGTTTATCGTTTGAGAGCATGAAAAGTAGAATGAACAACATTTTAAAAAAATGCTAATAAGTATCGTTGCAGTATGCAGTAGAGGATACAGCAAACCGAGTGGAATTGTTAATATTAGAGTATAATTTGTGAGATTTAGAGCAACTGGAAAAGTATGAGGCCATGTTTTTGAGGTCCTTATATCCTTTGAGACTATCTTGAATTTTATTCTATAGATAATGGCAGAGCCAGGGAAAGGTTTTAAATATAAAACTATTACAGTTACGTCAGGAAGGCTGTAGACAGAATATCAGAACTGTTTATTGGCCAATTGGTACTTGTTCATCAGCTTGGTTTCTCTCTACCCAGTCTACAAGATAGTGGCAAACGATCCTTTTTCCACTTCTTAGTTACAATTTCCAGCCATTCTACCCTACACTTTGGTCACATTGGGAGAAATGTGCTAGAAAGACTCATAGAGTCTTCAGTTTCTCACGCATTTTCATGCATGTCTTTATTGCCATTGTGATGACAAGAAAGTAAGTAAATGTTTAAATCTCCACTAACAGCTGGACAAACTGAAGAGAATACAAGTATTAACTTAATCTTTCTTTGTATCATAACAAAATATTTAACTCTTAAAGTAAACTTTTAGCTTAGGAAAGCTTAAACTTTCAACTTAATTTAACAAAGTTAAGCAACTTTGGTTATGATCTGTCTTTGGTCTGTTTTCTTCTCAGTAATGTGTCTCCTTGAAGGACAATATCCAAAAGTCACTTCTCTTACTTAATAAAATTATACTTAGTATTTCCATTCTAGCTGTATGCTGTTTTGAATTGGATTACTTTTGAAACTAGTAATATGATAATTCTATTTATTTTCGTGTTCATTTGAAATCCCAGTTAAAATAATGTCAAGTATAAAATAATATGAGAGTATAAATCCTTACAGGATCTTCTCAGATAATTTTGGAAAGAGATTTTTAGGGAAAATATGTTTTGATTAAAGTGGTATAATTTTGATGTAAGCATGGTTCCACACACCTCTTTCTTTTAATGTTAGTGGATTTCAGAGAGTCTGGATCCAAAACAACATAGGCTATATTCTTTTTTTTAGTATATTTTGTTGTAGGAATTGGAAAGGAAAATGAGAGAACTGTATTTTTCCCATGTTTAGTTTTAGCCAATATTTGATTCGTAATCTGAGGAGATTTTAGGTTTTAGAGTCAAGGCACAAGCCAAGAAGGCTTTACTTTTGTTTTTAACCTCCTATGGTTTTTGTTTATGGAATTTGAAAATTGAAGAAACTCAGTTCAAAGAGTAAATGACTTGGTTGCGGGTGTGTGTTTGTTTGTTTTTATTGTTTTTGAGACAGGATCTTGCTCTGTCACCCAAACTGGAATGCAGTGGTACAATCTCGGCTCACTGCAGCCTCTGCCTCCCAGGCTCAAGTGATTCTCCTACCTCAGCCTCCTGAGTACCTGGGACTACAGGCATGCACCACTATGCTCTGCTAATTTTTTTTTTTTTTGTATTTTGTGTTTTTTGTAGAGGCGGGTTTTCACCATGTTGCCCAGGCTAGTCTCAAACTCCTGAGCTCAGGCAGTCTACCCGCGTTGGCCTCCCAAACTGTTGGGATTGCAGGCGTGAGCCACCTTGCCTGGCCTGACTTGGAGTTTTATCTAAAAAGCAATACTGCCACCCAGTGTTTACACAGTTTACATTTTTAGATTTTTAGAGACTATTTTGAGAATCTCATCATCCTTAGCTTAGAAATTATTAAAGGATCTGCCTTTTTTTTTTTTAATGGAATTATATTTTCGTGTCTCACGTACTTAGGTTCATTTATTATATATAAACGTATATAAATTTACTGAATGTTTGCCAGTGGTGTTTGCACAATTAAATTCTATAATGAGCATTTTACTTTCATAGAGTCGAGGTGGAAAAAAGTTTCTTCCTGTATTGAAAGAAATCTTGGACAGGGATCCCTTGTCTCAACTGTGTGAAAATGAAATGGATCTTATTTGGACTTTGCGACAAGACTGCCGAGAGATTTTCCCACAATCATTGCCAAAATTACTGCTGTCAATCAAGTGGAATAAACTTGAGGATGTTGCTCAGGTAACAAAAGATCGTTTCTGTAACTTTTTTTGGGTGTATGGTACTTGGTTGGATTCACATGAAGTATCCTTTTCTCATAGATGTATTTTCATAGATAGGATAATTTAAGCAGGAGAAATTTTGAGACTTTAAACTCTTATACTCTAAGTAGTGGACCAGAATATTGCCAGGATTTAAAAATCTCAGATTTTGGGTAGGATTGCCATACCTTTCACCAAATACAGTTGAAACATTGATCTTGGGACAATTATCTATCAAAAGTACCACTTGCTGAGACCTGGGTACCTTCTACCAGCTTCATCAGTGAACTCAAGAGTTTTAAATCTTTTAGACTCTTCGCAATGCCTGTTCTAGAATGAATGTCCATTGTTTGAAAATTACATCTATTACAGAGAATAAATAATGTTTTAGATAATATATCATTCAAGTCAATTTCAACATTCATTTCAGTTGTCCAGTATTGCTGAATGTATGCCTTTTGGCAGAATAGAAAAAAGACCATTTTGCTTCAAAAAACCACCAAATTGTAGTTCCTTGATTTAGTTTTCAAGACCCTGCCAAAAAGCACTGGCATTTATTCAATTCAAACAACCCACCAGTGCTCAATAGAAAGCCCTTGAAATGGTTTTTTTGATCAGAACAAATAAATTTGCTCTACTAAAATAACCAAATTTTTTCATGTTACTTATTTAAGTTCAATGAATCTCTGTAGTATGTAGTCTTAGTAAATCTATAGTGACTAAAAATTTAGTGAAGAAATACAGATTTATCTTAATTATATGCATTTTAAAAATCTTTGGATTTATTGTTTCGCTTCTCAAATTAAGTGTAGAAAGGATTTCTTTTGTGTTCACTTTTAGTGTCTAAAGATCTTTGGAGCCAGGCATGGTAACACACACCTCTAGTCCCAGCACTTTGGGAGGCCAAGGCAGGTGGATCACTTGAGCCCAGGAGTTCCAGACCAGCCTGGGCAACATGGCGAAACCCTGTCTCTACAAAAAATACAAAAATTAGCTGGACATGGTGGCATGTGCCTGTAGTCCTAGCTGCTTGAGAGGCTGAAATGGGAGGATTGTTTGAATCTGGGAGGTTGAGGCTGCAGTGAGCCAAATGCCATTGCACTCTACCCTGGGCAACAGAGTGAGACCTTGTCTCAAAAAAATAAAATGGCTGGGGTCTGTGGCTCATGTCTGTAATCCCACCACTTTGGGAGGCTGAGGTGGGCAGATCAGGAGGTTGAGACCAGCTCAGCAATTTGAGACCAGCCTGGGCAACACAGCGAAACCTTGTCTCTACAACAAATACAAAAATTAGCCAGACGTGGTGGTGCACGTCTGTTTCAGCTACTTGGGAGGCTGGGGCTGGAGGATTATTTGAGCCTAAGAGGCTGAGGTTGCAGTGAGCCGAGATTGTGCCATTGCATTCTAGCCTGAGTGACAGAGGGAGACCTGTCTCAAATCAATCAATCAATCAATCGATCTTTGGAAACGTGTTATATAGTTACATTATTGTATGTACCTCGATTAAACTTGTTTCCACCTTAGACCAAATTAGACTGAAAAGGAACTATTTTATTTTAATTGCTGTAGAATAGTTATTGTCTTCTAGCCACTCATATATTATCTAAATTCAGGATTCGTTTTCCATGAACCTTCAGTAATGGAAAAGAAGATCTAAGCATTTTTTTACTTGACACATTTGCCTGTTTCTTTTGGATAGTGTCTAGTGCTGAGTGCATGTCTAAGAAATACATCATATTATTATTTCATTAGAATCAGAATGGAAAGAATTTCTTGCTGTACTCTTAAAAGCTGTCTTATAGAGAGATTTGGTGAGTTTTTGGCAATTTAATTTTGCACTTACATGATTTAATTTTTAATAATTATAAATAATCTTACCAACGTCATTACTTTCCAATGGTAAAGTTGTTTTTAACCACAACATTGCTGAACCTCTAGTATTACATAATCTTATCTCTCCTTTTCAGTGTTATTTATGGGCAGTGTTTTCCAAGTATTAACTGGAGAGATGAGGAGTTTTTTTCTTACTACTATTTCAAAACTTCAGGAAATGGTCTCTTCCAAACTCTTCTGCCCATAAAGAAGACTGCAGGTCCATTAGGGCCTTGGGCAAAGCAAGGAGGGGGGCTCTGTTAGTGAGAAAAAGTGGGGATGAGGTTGGTGCTATGTTTTTACACCAGTATTTCTGAACCTGTTTTCATCACTATACCCTTAGGAGCTTTTATAGACTTTTTTCCCCCCAATAACCCATGAGATTTTGATTCTATAGATACATGATACATCTGTTCATGTACTGTATGTGTATCTGTACTTTATACATAAAAAAAAGAGCAAGCTTTATTCAATATAGGGTTAAGAATAGCTAAGAAAAACTTGAGTTTAAAGTTAAAATTTAGGCTGGGTATGGTGACTCAAGCCTGTAATCCCAGCACTTTGGGAAGCAGAGGCGGGAAGATCACTTGAGGCTAGGAATCTGAGACCAGCAACATAGCGAGACCCTATCTCTAAAAAAATAAATAAATGAAATGAAATTAGCTAGGCATGGTGGTGTGTGCCTGTAGTCCTGGCTACTCAGGAGGCTAAGTTGGGAGGATTGCTTTTACCCAGGAGTTCAAGGCTGCAGTGAGCTATGATGGTGCCACTGCACTCCAGGCTGGATAACAGAATGAGACCCTGTCTCTTAAAAAAAAAAAAAAAAGTTAAAATTTAAAAATTAGTAGGCATTTCACTGTATTTGCTAAGTAACTATGTAATTTATTCACATAGGTGAATTGTAATGTATCAAATTACATATATAAATTAACAATTTATGCTGAGTGCAGTGGCTCACGCCTGTAATCCCAGACTTTGCGAGGCTAAGGCGGGTGGATCACCTGAGGTCAGGAGTCCGAGAAGAGCCTGGCCAACATGGTGAAACCCCATCTCAAAAAAAAAAAAAAAAAAAAAATTAGCCGGGCATGGTGGCGGGTGCCTGTAATTCCAGCTACTCGGGAGGCTGAGGCAGGAGAATCGCTTGAGTCCGCGAGGGGGAGGTTGTAGTGAACCATGATTGCACTATTGTACTCCAGCCTGGGTATCAAGAGTGAAACTCTGTCTCAAAAAATAAGTTAACAATTTATATAAATATATACTAATAATAGAGAAATTAAATTTAAAAAAATCATTCAAAAGTATTGTTTTCCCAAAAATATTTTTAAAATGTAAAACAACTGAAAAAATTAAGCTAATTTTAAAAAATTACCTTTAGTTAACTTTTATTTACTTTTGCTTGATATGAGAAAATTCCTTTTAACTTAGCTGGTAGATTCTCATTTAGATATTGTTGACTTTTTGGAGAGGGCTTGGCATAGTTAATGATAGGTTGAATAACTTGTAGAATTAAGTAATAAAATATAAACTGTTTTACTGAATTCTCAAAGCTTAATTAGTCTGAGAATCACACTTAACATCCACAAGATAGTCAACAAGCTTGCAGGCCTCCTCTCCCAATATGACTTTGAGCAATCAATTGAAAGAAAATCCTCTAATCACTGCCATCTATTTGCGATAGTTTTATAGCACTGATCTTGCATACACATCATATACCTTCCATGACATTGATGTCAATGGTGTTTATGTGATACCCAGGAAAATACAATGAGAGAAATTAAATACTAAGGAATAAGATTTTATCAGATGGGGTTGAGCTTTAGGAAGGCTACAAATTCAACATTTTTTTCTCTCTCACCCATAAAATTTATTTGGGGGTAAGTACTTCATAGCTTTTCAAACTTATCTATAGAATGTTTCAACGACAAAGATAATCTTTATTAGCCTGTATTAACAGGAATGGATTTTTGAGGCATCAGTAGTTAAAAGTGTGCTTTGCCTTCTTTTGACATATCTCGGTGCTCCTGTGTGTCAAGGAAAATTAGATTACTTTTGTCCCCCATTATTTCTGAACCAGTTTCATTTTTTAAACAGCTTCAGGCGCTGCTTCAGATTTGGCCTAAACTGCCCCCCCGGGAGGCGCTAGAGCTTCTGGATTTCAACTATCCAGACCAGTACGTTCGTGAATATGCTGTAGGCTGCCTGCGACAGATGAGGTATCTTCTGCAGGTGGTTTTCTTTGGGGAAAGGAATAACTTGGGTGGGTTTGGGACGAGAGTGTCTCCTTAATGTCTCATAAGAAAGAAAAGGACTCAGAATTATTCACAGTTCAAAGCATTTGCTCATGTCCTCCTGCCGTGTCCCCCACTCAATGTTTATACTAGAAAAAAAAGCAAAAGCTTACTGGGTCAGAAAGTCCTCAAGATCACCCTCAGGTTTGATGACTCACTAGGAGGACTCAGAACTCAGCACATAGTCTCTTACAGATATAATTTATTGCAGCAAAAGGATACAGAGCAAAATTTAAGGAGGGAAAAAGGTTCATGGAGTGAAGTCATGAGGAAACCAGGCATGCATAAGCTTGTAAGAGTTCTTTTCCAGTGAAGTTACCTCGAACACTTCTAATTCTATCAGGAGTTGTGATAATACAAGTCTGCAAGGGAAGCTTGTTAGAGACCTGGTGGCCAGGGTTTTTACTGGCAGCTATTACATAAGCACCCTCTGCCTAGCATGTACCAGATTTCTATACTCCCAGCAGTAAAGTGGATATACAACATAAACCATTGTTTGCACAAATAGTTTAGGTGCAGTGAGCTACTCTTATCAATTAGGAGGATGGTGGGAACCCTTCTGAAGTCTTAATTCCCAGATGCTAGCCATGGGCCAATCCTATAAGCAGACTTGTTAGAGGATAGCAGCCAAGCCTGCTGTGTTACCCCTTTTCTTCACACAGTCCATCCACCCTCCAGAATTAAGAAATGCTAATTTTTGTCATGGGTTTAAATATATATATATATATATATATAGCAAATACATTACAGTTAAAGTTGAAGTCCTCATAGTTTCCTTATCCAGTCTTGATTACTTCTCTTCCTTCCCAGAGGCAGACATTATCATGAATTTGGTGTGTATGCTTCTATATCACATTTTTCTGTTTCATATATATCTATGAAAATATAGACATGGAATTGTTATTGCACAAATGTGTCTTGCCATATGCATTAGTTTATATCTTGCTTTTTAAAAATTCATCCAGACGGCTGGGTGTGGTGGCTTATGCCTGTAATCCCTGCACTTTGGGAGGCCGAGGCGGGCAGATCACTTGAGGTCGGGAGTTTGAGACCAGCCTGGCCAACATGGTAAAACCCCATCTCTACTAAAAATACAAAAAAATTAGCCAGCATGGTGGCCAGCACCTGTAATCCTAGCTACTCAGGAGGCTGAGGCAGAAGAATCACTTGAACCCAGGAGACAGAGGTTGCAGTGGGCTGAGATCGTGCCACTGCACTCCAGCCTGGTCAACAGAGCAAGACTCCGTCTCCAAAAAAAAAAAAAAACATTCAGCCAGGTGTGGTGGCTCACACCTGTAATCCCATCACTATGGGAGACAAACGTAGGCAGATGGATGAGCCCAGCAGTTTGAGACCAGCATGGGCAACATAGTTAAGCCCCATCTTTACCAAAAATACAGAGACATTAAACTGGGCATGGAGGTGCGCACCTGTGGTCCCAGCTACTTGGGAGGCTGAGGTGGGAGGATCACTTGAGCCCTGGTGGCGGAGGTTGCAGGAGCTGAGATGGTGCCACTACACTCTAGCCTGGGTGACAGAGTGAGACCCTGTCTCAAAAAATAAAATGCAAATACATAAATAAATAAAAATAAAAATTCAGCATTAGGTTTTTAAGGTTAGTCTCTCCCATTATGTTTAAATGTTGTTTATTCCTTTCACTACTGTGTAATATTCTGTCATAGGGATATATCTTATTTAATTTATTCCCTATTAAGGAACATTTAAGTTTTCTCCACATTTCCCTATTATAAATAATGCTTCAGTGGACATGTTTGTAGTCTCCCTTGGTTGGTGCATTTGTGAGAATCAGATTCACTGAAGAAATGACTGTCTCAGACAATAAAGTTTATCCATTTTCTTTCTAACTTCAAAAATGAGGCTTATGTACTTTACCGTTTTTGAAAAATAAAAGCCCACAAAATAGTATAGATACTGTAATCCTTTTTTCTTTTTAAAATTTTGTATGTTTTAAGCTGTGTAATAGCCAAAAGAAATTACACAGACTCACCAATAGTGCTTATTTCTGGGGAGTGAAATTAGAAGTGTGAGAGAAGAGGAAATTCCTTCTATTCCTATACTTTCTAGTTTTTACACTATTTATAGGTTATATAATGGGCATGAATTTTACACTAAACCTAATCAAGATTGTGTTATAGGTGGTTGTAAAAAATGAATTCCCAGTTACTTCACCATCTCTTTAAGTTTGCATTGGAGACCTCTTGTGGAGGGGCCACCTGGTTCTCCTTGGGCTGAGCCAAGTGTTGTGTTTTTTTTTTTTTTTTTTTTTTTTTGAGACGGAGTCTTGCTCTGTGGCCCAGGCTGGAGTGCAGTGGCTGGATCTCAGCTCACTGCAAGCTCCGCCTCCCAGGTTTACCCCATTCTCCTGCCTCAGCCTCCTGAGTAGCTGGGACTACAGGCGCCCGCCATCTCGCCCGGCTAGTTTTTTGTTTTTTTTTAGTAGAGACGGGGTTTCACCGTGTTAGCCAGGATGGTCTCGATCTCCTGACCTCGTGATCCACCCGTCTTGGCCTCCCAAAGTGATGGGATTACAGGCTTGAACCACCGCGCCCGGCCCCAAGTGTTTTTCTTAAATGTATTGATCCCTCTGAGGAGATATCTGTGATCCATGTATTCCATGTAGCTAATTCTGGTGGTTTTTCTATTGTGAAATTTTCTGGTTATGAGTTTTTGGTTTTGGTATATAGTGCCCTGGGTTTCAGTCCCAGATATCTGCCTTAGACTAACTAATTTCTTAACCATTTATTACCCAACACTATGGAGAGTAAGTGGAGCACTTGGGGCACTTGGGCTTCATACCTTATACTGGTGGAATTGCCTCTGATGGGAATGTGTTTACAGGTGAATGGTTTGGAGATTGACACAAAGTAGAGAACCACTAACCTTAATTAATTCAGCTCAGTTAATTACAATGTTATCTATTATATTATTTCAATGATCAATTCCCACTTATAAATGTATTCACTTTCTCATCCTTCACACTCTTTGAAGTTAAGATTTTAATTGTACTTTGGTTATCTGGGAGGACTTACTTAACCCTAATGACAGCAAAGGAAAATAAATTGTGAAAGTACTGATGGAATTTTTATTTTAAAAATAATTGTTTGACTAAGCACAAACTTTTTGGCATGATCAGAAATCAGTATTAAAGTACCTAGTATTTTTGGTAACTCTTAGCTGACTGGAAATACAGTCATGAATTTTAACAATCTGTAATAGTCCATTTTGACACCATTATAAAGAAACACCTGAGACTGGGTAATTTATAAAGGAAAGAGGTTTAATTGATTCACAGTTCCCCATGACTAGGGAGGCCTCACAAAACTTAAAATTATGGTAGAAGGCGAAGGGGAAGCAAGTAGCATCTTCACAAGGTGGCAGGAAAAGAGAAAGAACAGGGGAAACTACCACTTGTGAAGCCATCAGATCTCATGAGAACTCACTCACTGTCATGAGAATAGCATGGAGGGCCACAATGATTCAATCACCTCCCACTAGCATGCTCCTTTGACATGTGAGAATTACAGGGATTATAATTCAAGGTGAGATTTGGGTAGGGACAAAAGCCAGACCATATCACAATCTAATTCATGTGATTAAAATATCTTTAGTATCTGTTCTTTGACCCTCTTCACTCCCCTTTCCCCATCTGAAATCTTCAGCTTTTTTTGTGATGTTGTAACAGTGGTACAGTGAAGGCAAGCATGTTGTAACAAGCCTGGCCCAAAAGAACCATTGTGTTTCAACAAGTTCACATTTGATAGTTTGATAGGGAGGGATCTTTTTCTGGCACAGGTTGTTTGGTTACTCACTGTGTCTTTTGTTTCTTTCAGTGATGAAGAACTTTCTCAGTATCTTTTACAACTGGTGCAAGTTTTAAAATATGAGCCTTTTCTTGATTGTGCCCTCTCTAGATTCCTATTAGAAAGAGCACTTGGTAATCGGAGGATAGGGCAGTTTCTATTTTGGCATCTTAGGTAAGTCTTTTATATTTTAATTTGAGCCCATCAGGTGCTTTAGTAACTATAAACCAGCATATTATATTTAATAGAAAAATAGCTGCTTTAGTTTTTTTCTGAACAATTTATTATAACGTTTATATGGTTTTGGTGCCTTCTCCTGTTTCTTGATACCTGCACTCTTGATTTTCAGGATTTGACAAAGTATCCAAGACCCTTATGTGTCCCTCCATGCCTGCTTTATTTCTTCTTTATTTCTTCCTTCCTTTCTTTCTTTTTTTTTTTTTTTTTCTGTTTCTACCTGCTTGATTTTTAACTGAAATTAATAATGTATTGGTATTTTCCAGTAAAGTGTACTTATTGTCTTAATATATTTGGGCTGAATGCAGACCTATTTATTTCTTCTAGAAAGTTGTGGGTGGTACTGTCATTACTAGTGTTATTGAGTGAAGGTAAAGGTTTACTATAATGACAGCAATTTTGTTCAGTTTCTTTATTAAGTAGGTAAGAAGTACATGAACTTTACTTCACCAAGTTCATGTAAGAGTAAAATCAGGAATGAGAACTAAAGTTATTCCTTTGTTTTCTAAGGAAATTGTATTAATATATTTCTCATTTCTGACTCTCTACTCAGACATTTTTTTTCCCTCCCAATCTGGACTTCATAGTACTGAAACTAATGCTTATCAGAAATTTTTTTTAAAAACTACCTTTTTTCTTTCTTTCTTTCTTTCTCTCTTTCTCCTTCCTTCCTTCCATCCTTCTTTTCTTCTTTTCTCTTTGCTGAGCTTCTCAAAGGCAATGAGCTCTATAATGTGCTCTTAATTTTAGTTTTATTTCTGAATATGGTTTTCTTACTCATATTTTTTTCCACTCTTTTTTACTTCCTTGTGTTGTTCTAGAACCTTTTCTTATTTTTAACTTGTCTTTTCTCATTCATTCAGTCTTAGTTTTTAAACCCCTCAGGGAATAACAAAATAAGTATTCCTTCCTTTTTCAAATATGTACATCACTCTTTAAGTGAGAAAAAAATTAGAATACATGCTAATCAGGGTATTAGTCAATTATTTAATACCAGTCAGACTTCATAGTTACCTGTTTCAGCCTATTGTCTTTAAATTGGTAAGACTGCCTTACCCCTACAAAAAGCAAATCAGGTAAGATGTACACATTTTAGATTTCTTGGAATAAAGAATTCTTGGAATAAAGAATTAACTAATTATAGAATATCATAGCTTTTGAACTTTGAAGTATTAACTAATTATAGAATATCATAGCTTTTGAACTTTGAAGTTTAACAAATTGGAAAGTTGACCCATCTCACTAATAATTATGCATAAAATAGCCAGGTGTGGTGGCTCACGCCTATAATTCCAGCACTTTGGGAGGCCAAGGCAGGTGGATCACTTGAGGCCAGGGGTTTAGACCAGCCTGGCCGCATGGCAAAACCCTGTCTCTACTAAAAATACAAAATTAGCCAGGCATGGTGGCGCATGTCTATAATCCCAGCTACTCGGGAACTGAGGCAGGAGAATCGCAAGTATGAAGGGGCTGGCCACCCCATCCACATTCCAACCAGAAATGGGGAGAGCAGGGAAGGGGAGGGACCAGCATTTCCTTCTAAGTCCAGGACTCATTTTTTGTGCACATCACTTCATCTTGCATCCTGTTGGCTAGAACCTAGTCACCTAGTGACATCTAGCTACACGTTTTTATTTTTGGAAAGCTTGAACCCGGTAGGTGGAGGTTGCAGTGAGCCGAGATCACACCAGTGCACTCCACCCTGGGCAACAGAGTGAGACTGTCTCAAAAAAGGAAGCGAGGAAGGAAATAATAATAATACACACAATGACCTTGCCATCATAAGTTTATTTTTTGTAGAATAAAGAAGTCAGTATTTATTCGGTGATCTGAAGTGTTTGATAAACAAACTGTTTGGATATCATTAACTTTCTGCAGGTCAGAAGTGCACATTCCTGCTGTCTCAGTACAATTTGGTGTCATCCTTGAAGCATACTGCCGGGGAAGTGTGGGGCACATGAAAGTGCTTTCTAAACAGGTATTTATTCATTTTTTCTTTTTTTGACAGACAACATTTAAAGCATGAATATCAGCTTGTTTTAATCTTCATGTTCAATTTGATACATGGTGTTTGATCAGTTTTATCAAATGCCATTTCTCCCACCACATTTATTTCATAGAAGTCTCAGTAACAAACAACCTGATTAATACATTCTTTTATCAAAATTTAGGTCAAAAAGTGAAGTTTCGATGAACTTAGCAGAAAAATATTAACTGAATGCTACCTGAAAAATAATTACTCGGAATTCCTAATATATTCTATATTAATCCCAAAGTGCTAAGAAATGCAGATGTGAACCACCGCGCCCAGCCCCACCCCACCCGACCCCCCCTTTTTTTATTTAGATAGAGTCTTGCTCCGTCGCCAGGCTGGAGTGTAATGGCACTATCTCGGCTCACCGCAACCTCCACCTCCCGGGTTCGAGTGATTCTCCTGCCTCAGCCTCCCGAATAGCTGGGACTACAGGCGTGTGCCACCATGCCCAGCTAAATTTTTGTATCTTTAGTAGAGATGGGGTTTCACTATGTTGGCCAGGCTGGTCTCGAACTCTTGACCTCGTGATCTGCCTGCCTCAGCCTCCCAAAGTGCTGGGATTACATGTGTGAGCCACTGTACTTGGCTGCCCCACTCTATTTTTATATCAGATTCCTGATTTCCAGTTAAACTACTCTTTTCTAGTTCCTTTGCATTGCCAGAAGAACTCTCATAGGCTTCCATTAGGTGTTTTTAATATTTAGGATTTTTCGTGATGTTAAAAACTTTTCCTGATCCCTTCCTTTTGAAAAGCCCATTAATGATGGTAATAATAGCTAATGTTTATTCATCACTTATTATGGGTCATTTATTCTTCACAACAACATGGAATCAATATGATTAATCCTCTGAATTTTATAGAACCTTGAAATATATCTCACATCTCTGCCCATTTCCCTTGTATTTATGGCTATCATCCTAGTCCAAGCTACTATTCTTTTTCCACTGGACTTCTTCATTAACTTCCTAAATTGTGCCCCTTGTTTCCCTTCCTACATGTCCCCCCACATTCTGTACACAGAAGATAAAGTGACCTTTTAAAAATGTAGACTGTGGCCACATGCAGTGGCTCACACCTGAAAACCCAGCACTTTGAAAGGCTAAGGTGGGAGGATCACTTGAGCCCAGAAGTTTGAGACTAACCTGCACAACATAGTGAGACCTATCTCTAAAAAAAATTAGAAGGTGGCTTGCAACTATAGTCTCAGCTACTTGAGAGGCTGAGGTGGGAGGATTGCTTGAGCCCAGGAATTTGAGGTTGCAGTGAGCTATGATTTGACTGTACCACTACACCCTAGCCTGGGCAACAGAGCAAGACCTTGTCTCAAAAAAAGAAAAAAAGTAAGTAGATTGTATTACATCATTTCCCTTTTAAAATCCCTTTTAAAATCCCTTCAATAATTTTTATTGCACTATGAGTAAAATTCAAAATTTCTGCCAAAGCCTATTAGGCTGTATGTAGTCATAACTTGCTTAATGTCATCATATAACCAGTTTCCACACTGCATATTGCTTGAAGCCTCAGCTTGATGTTAGAGACAATAAAAGGATGATGTATGTATGAACAAATTATTCTTACTCCTGTTTTTCTTTTTTTTTTTTTTATTGATGAATTGTGAGAGGAAGACTTTACCCTGTACATAGCAGTTCTTATTATTACTATAAACTTACAAAAGAACAAGGTGTTGAAACACTTCAAGTATTTAGACTTATGGCCATGGGGTATTCAGGACGCTGTTCCAGGAAGTGTGGATATCAACACTAATTGTTGATGGAGTGTGAAAACTTTCAACTGTACAGACATGGAAGAAGTTTCAAATTTCAAATACTTGTAAAAAGTTTCTATTTGCTTAGCCCAGTTTTTATCTGGTTGCCTTGTCACCAGTGTTTGTACGGCTCCTGAAACTGTTGAGAAGTAGAGTGATCTGTGGTTTTAACAGATGGCTAACTTGGCAAGTCCCAGTCATCTCAATTTTATCATCAAGCTGCATAGGTCCTTCCTAGTTTCCTGTGAGCAAGGTCTCAGCCTCTGTGGAAACTGCATGCTTGAATTAATCTCCCTACATAGTCTTAGTGGTTTCCTTGCATAGAAGCAGAGTTTAAAAATGAAAATATGTTATAAATTAAATCTCTTGTTCATGGAATTTCAAGCCACATTGTTTATATTTGTGATACACATATTTTATATGCTTGTTACATACCATATACTTTTTAATTCTATTTTTAACATTTGTTTTTTCCAGTTTTAATGATATACTGATAAAATAAGGTGCTCCTTCTTTATGCGTGGCTGAGGTTGTTATGAATTTTACATAATATGACATAAAAGACCCTCAGTTATTAAATAATAAAGTTGAATTTTATTTATTGTTACTATATATTTATTTATTTTATTTTTTGTGATGGAGTCTCACCCTGTAACCCAGGCTGGAGTACAGTGGCATGATCTTGGCTCACTACAACCTCTGCCTTCCAGGTTCAATCAATTCTCCTGCCTCAGCCTCCCTAGTAGCTAGGATTACAGGTGTGTGCCACCACACTCGGCTAATTTTTGTATTTTTAGTAGAGAGGAGGTTTTGCCATATTGGCCAGGCTGGTCTTGAACTCCTGACCTCAAGTGATCCGACCACTTCAGCCTCCCAAAGTACTGGGATTACAGGCATGAGCCACTGCACCTGACCCTTATTTATTTATTTTTTGAGACATAGTCTCACTCTGTTGCCCAGGCTAGAGAGTGCAGTGGTGCGATTTTGGCTCACTGTAGCCTCCAGCTCCCAGGTTCCAGTGATTCTCCTGCCTCAGCCTCCTGAGTAGCTGGGATTACAGGTGCACACCACCATGTCTGGCTAATTTTTGTATTTTTACTAGATAGGGGGTCCATGTTGGCCAGGCTGGTCTTGAACTCCTGGCCTCAACTGATCCACTTGCCTCAGCTTCCCAAAGTGCTGGGATTACAGATGTGAGCCATCACACCCAGCCTAAAGTTGAATTTTAAATGTAATGGTTTTGATTTAGTTGGCCATTGTTGATACACCTTGTACTACTTGCATAAGTTTTTTTTTTTTTACTTGCATAAGTTTTGATGGCCATAGTTATTATAAAAACAAGTAATTTAGATTTGAATAACAAATAGTATGTCTATATTCACACTTACTTTAAAACAATTATTTCTAGCTATTCTGTTAATGGAAATAGAATGTATTGAAATATCATACAAGAGTGATGACAAGAAGTAGATATTAAGGTTGAATAGCAAGAACCTTAGAGTTACTTCTACATAGGTTTTTCTCTTATACTATGAAGTTGGCCAAATGGACTGGTTTAGGTTAGTGATGTCTCAAATTCTACTATACAATGAATTACAGAATTTTGAATAGTTTAAGTTTCATATTTTTCTTTTTTTTTTTTTTGAGACAGTTTCTCACTCTCTTACCCAGGCTGGAATGCTGCAGTAGTTTAATCTTGGCTCACTGCAACCTCCGCCTCCAAGGTTAAAGCGATTCTTATGCCTCAGCCTCCCGAGTAGCTGGGATTACAGGCAAGTGCCACCATGCCTGGCAAATTTTTGTATTTTTTTTTTTTTGTAGAGATGGGGTTTCACCATGTTGCCCAGGCTAGTCTCAAACTCCTGACCTCAAGTGATCCACCTGCCTCAGCCTCACAAAGTGCTGGGCCACATTTATCTTCTTAAGTACCCATAGTGTGCACCTGGCCCACATTTATCTTAAGTACCCATAATCTAAGTCTGCTTTTCTCGAATTTGTAAGATTTTGTTTAAGAAAAGGTTTAAAGAAAGTTTGAAAATGATGCTATAACAACTGTTAAAAATAAATTGTTTATTGTATGTAAAATGCTTTTCGTAAGTCAGACACTGTTTTTACTTCAGCTGGTTATGTGTGTATGTTTATGAGTCTGTGTTGGGAGCAGGTGTTATTGATTGATGTCATCACATGATATTATATTACTTTTAGTCAAATGAATTTTTGGTGTGGGGAACTTATTTTTCAGGTTGAAGCACTCAATAAGTTAAAAACTTTAAATAGTTTAATCAAACTGAATGCAGTGAAGTTAAACAGAGCCAAAGGGAAGGAGGCCATGCATACTTGTTTAAAACAGAGTGCTTACCGGGAAGCCCTCTCTGACCTGCAGTCACCCCTGAACCCATGTGTTATCCTCTCGGAACTCTAGTAAGTGACTGTACTTTGCCCAGTGAATCTCCTATGAATAACAAGCAGAAAGTCACTGCCTTAGGGGAGTAGTAGGGTCAGCTGTCAGCCTCAAGAAGTAGAATATAATTAAGGAAGGAAAATCTTAAAAGTTCTCTGAGGCTATGCTTATATTCAATAGGATGTATGCTTATCAGCTAAACTTACCTGTGGATTCAGTGAAACTTATTACAAATGAATTTATATTTCAATTATATGTAATTAAATTTATTTTCTATGTTACTGATATGTAAGAGTTGACAATCCTAATAAGCAAAATGTTGCAAACTATAGTAAATTATTTACTGATTGATTTTCCTATTTTAAAATGAGATCTTGTCTTGAGTGAATTTGGCAACTTATTTCTCACTTTCTCATTCCTTACAAAAGTAATAATAGAAAATAATAATCTGTATTCAGTATACTATCAGTATTCAAATGAATCCCTTGTTAAGAAATCAAAAATGGTCTCAAAATAGTTCTAATTTTAACCCAATGATTTGTTCTAATTTTTTATTCACTAAATGTAATAATGTAAAGTTAAGCAAATGAAAGGAAACGAGAGGAGGAATGTTAAGTGGAGAAGGTGAGAAGGGAATCTTGGGTTTTGAGTCCAGCCTATTTTGCGTTAGTATATGCCACCCAAGGCTGTCCTCATTGTTGCTTTTCTACCAAGTGGGACTCTTCTAAGTCTGACTCTTCTGCAGACCGGAAAGGAATAGATGAGGAGTTTTCCCAAGCCTAGTATATCTTGGTAAAATTATAATCTTCTGTATCATTACACTGAAGTTGACTCATTTTCCCCACTTCATTTCAGTGTTGAAAAGTGCAAATACATGGATTCCAAAATGAAGCCTTTGTGGCTGGTATACAATAACAAGGTATTTGGTGAGGATTCAGTTGGAGTGATTTTTAAAAATGGTGATGGTAAGTACTGAGATTTTTAACATCATCAAATATCTTAGAATTTTTCATTTGTTGCCATTTTGCTTTGTCTGAAAGGTGATGTGTAGTGTAAGTGTGTAACAGTTTGCAGCCAGGAAGGTAGCTATTAATGGTCATAAAGTCAAATTCAGCGTGTCCTAAATGCCTTTTTTTCCCTCTTATAAAATGATTTATACCATTCACTTAAATACACTGTCCTAATGAACCTTCTTTTGTTTCCGCCTACAAAATACAAAGTGCGCCTACTCCTTTGATTAAAAAGCTTTTGAAATACAAGATATTATTTTTCCTTTTTTTTTTTTTTTTTTTGAGACAGGGTCTCACTGTCACCCAGGCTGGAGTGCAGTGGCACGATCTTGGCTCACTGCAACCTCCACCTCCCAGGCCCAAGTGATCATCCCACCTCAGCCCCCCAAGTAGCCGGGACTACAGGCACATGCCACACCTGGCTCACTTTTTGTGTTTTTTGTAAAGATGGGGTTTCACCATGTTGACCAGGCTGGTGTCGAACTCCTGAGCTCAAGTGATTCACCCACCCCAGCCTCTCAAAGTGCTGGGTTTACAGGCATGAGCCACCATGCCCAGACAAGGATATTTTCAGTAATATATTCATACGTCCTGTTTCAGTGACAGCAATATTGATTTTGCTGCCATTGTTTTGTATTTTAATGAAAGTACCTGACAGACCCAAAATTTGTAAAGGAAATGCCTCTGAAGTAATCACACCAGCCAATAGTCAGTGGTGACTTGTTAGTTATGTGACTACAAACAAGTCACAGAAAACTAATTGAGCTTCAGGTTTTTCACATCCATGAGGATTATAGCATCTGTATGTCAGGGTTATTAAAAGGAATTGAGATAACATAAGTAAATGTGCTTATCAGAATATGTGCTTACAACTTACAAAGAACTCATAGGGTTTTGCTTAACATTTAATGTCACTTGATCATACAAATGTCATTATGTGGATGTCACTAGTTTTATGTGCTCTAGTCCCCGAAAATACCCTTAGACATGATAATAAATTCAGCCATTACAGTTTTGTATGCAAAATGTGATGCAGTTACTTATGTGATCTTAAGAACTCTCTGTGTAGTTGTAAAAGCGAGCAAGAAGGAAAAAATTAGCCATGTAATTAATGTAATACACATACAGTGTAATACAAACAGTATTACAGCATACAGTTAATACAGTAACTTACACATGGTAAACAATTTTTAAAAATCTTTTAATTTAATGTCTAAAATAATGTCACAGGGACATGCTATCCAAAGAGTGTAATATTTGTTATAAAATTAGTGAAAATATTAGCACAGCATTTGTTAATGTTTTTAGTTAATTCTGAGTTAGTCTTGAATTCATTAGTTACAGGGCATAAAAGGGAAAGCACTTGTAATGAAGCAGTTTGTTTTCCCTTAGATTTACGACAGGATATGTTGACACTCCAGATGTTGCGCTTGATGGATTTACTCTGGAAAGAAGCTGGTTTGGATCTTCGGTGAGATCTAGTCTTTTTTTTTTTTTTTTTTTTTGGTCTAATGTTGTTGTCTTCCCACAGCAAAATATCTAGAATTTCTTGTTAATTCCTTCCCTCTTGTTCTTATTTTTAGTTGTTTTTCATAATAATATTTATATAGCACTTTACAATGTACTTTCAAATATGTTGTCTTGCCTAAGCTTCTTCAGTTTAAAACTACACATGTGACTGAAATTCCAGAAAGAAGGAATAGGTTTGAATTTTAATAAGGCTTGGACAGACAGCAAGAATTACATTCCAGCCTATGGTTTTGAAAGATGTACTGTGGGTCATGACAATGACAAAGCCAGAGAAAGTCCTGTGCCTTTTTATACTTAGTCTGGGGACATTCATTTCTCTACCTACCAAGGGAAAAGAGAGGAAGATGTTTAGGTGCATTCTCAGGTTTTTAGCTTGCCACCGTCAATAGGGGTAGATAGTAAGCAGAAGAAGTTTGTGGTGTGGTGACAGAAAAAAGGAAACATAAAATCAAGCCTCAGACTGGGAATTGTATTCACAATGAGCAGAACAGGGGGTAAATATTTAAAGAGCCCATAGAAATGAACATAAGGAAAAGATGTGAAAAGGCATTTTATAAAAGGTATAAAAATAAAGTAATATGCATGGTGGTACATACCTGTAATCCCAGCACTTTGGGAGACCAAGGCGGGCAGATCACTTGGGGTCAGGAGTTTGAGACCAGCCTGGCCAACATGGTGAAACCCTGTCTCTACAAAAATAATAATAATAAGCCACTATAGGCATGTGCCTATAGTCCCAGCTACTTGGGAGCTGAGGAGGGAGGATTTCTTGAGCCCAGGTGGTCAAGGCTGCAGTGAGCCAAGATCACGCCACTGCACTCCAGCTTGGGTGACAAAGTGAGAACCTATCTCAAAAAAGGAAAAAAAAAGAACTCTTAACTTTTAAAATGGAATTATTTATGTACTTTCATAATATATCAAACTGTATATAAATTCTAAATATTTCATAATTTCTATTTTTATCTTATTGACTCCTGAACTATTTAAAATTACAGCTGGATACAGTGGCTCTTGCTTTTAATCCTAATATTTTGGAAGGCCAAGGTGGGAGGATCGCTTGAACCTGGGAGTTCAAGACTGCCCTGGGCAACAGAGCAAGACTCTATCTCAGTAAATAAATAGATAAATAAATAAAATTTAATTTCCAAAGGCATACTTTTTTGTTTATCTATGATTTCTAATTTCATTGTGTTGTTATTGTATCAAGTATATGTTCAGATCTATATTCTCATTAAAGTTCAGTTTGAATTTGTCACTTCATAGATGTGTTACAACCTCCTATTATAATTGACATTTGTCGTTGCCTGCCTGCAGTCTTGTCAGTTTTTATCTTGATCTTATATTGGTTTTTTCTTTTTTTGTTTGTTTGTTTTTTGAGTCAGAGTCTTACTCTGTCACCCAGGCTGGAGTGCAGTGACATGATCTCAGCTCACTGCAACTTCTGCCTCCTGGGTTCAAGCAATTGTCGTACCTCAGCCTCCCGAGTAGCTGGGATTACAGGCACGGGTCACCAGGCTTGGTTTATTTTTGTATTTTTAGTAGAGACGAGGTTTCACCATGTTGGCCAGGCTGGTCTCAAACTACTGGCCTCAAGCATTGATCTTGTATTTGTAAATCTGTGCAAGGTTTGGTTTCTTTTAGCCTCTGTGCCCTCCTTTATCATTAAGAAATATGCCTCTAGGCCGGGCGCGGTGGCTCAAGCCTGTAATCCCAGCACTTTGGGAGGCCGAGACGGGCGGATCACGAGATCTAGGTCAGGAGATCGAGACCATCCTGGCTAACACGGTGAAACCCCGTCTCTACTAAAAATACAAAAAACTAGCCGGGCGAGGTGGCGGCGCCTGTAGTCCCAGCTGCTTGGGAGGCTGAGGCAGGAGAATGGTGGGAACCCGGGAGGCGGAGCTTGCAGTGATCCCAGATCGCACCACTGCACTCCAGCCTGGGCGACAGAGCGAGACTCCGCCTCAAAAAAAAAAAAAAAAAAAAAAGAAATATGCCTCTTAATCCCTAGTAATTTTGTTTTAGTCTGTTTTGTCCAAAATTGACATTTGTATACCAGCTTTATTTTGGTTAGTATTTACCTTTGTATCTTTTATTTTTAACTTTTATTTCATTTTATATTTATCTCCTGTAAATAGCATATAGTTGAATTTTTTTGTGAGGATGGATTTACTCCAATATGAAAGTATTTTATTAGGAAATTTTAATTGTTTATTGTGATTACTATATACTTATTTATTTCTACTATCTTATTGTATGTTTTATATTTACATCCTTGTTTTTGTCCTTTTTCTCATTTCCTTTTGTTGGATTGATAGAGTTTTAAAATTTTCATTTTGTCTTTCTATAAAATACTTTTAAAATTCTTACTTATTAAAAAAAATTTTTGTGGCTGGGCACGGTGGCTCAAGCCTGTAATCCCAGCACTTTGGGAGGCTGAGACAGGTGGATCACAAGGTCAGGAGATCGAGACCATCCTGGCTAACACGGTGAAATGCTGTCTGTACTAAAAATACAAAAAACTAGCCGGGCGAGGTGGCGGCGCCTGTAGTCCCAGCTGCTTGGGAGGCTGAGGCAGGAGAATGGTGGGAACCCGGGAGGCGGAGCTTGCAGTGAGCCCAGATCGCACCACTGCACTCCAGCCTGGGCGACAGAGCGAGACTCTGTCTCAAAAAAAAAAAAATTTTTTTTGTTAGAGATGGAGTCTCACTCTCACCCAGGCTTGAGTGCACTGGCATAATCATAGCTCACTGCAGCCACAAAGTCCTTAGTAACACAATCATAGCTCACTGCAGTTACAAACTCCTGGGTACCAGCAGTCTTCTCACCTCAGCCTCCTGAGTAACTAGGACTATAGGCACATGCCACCATGCCTGGTTCATTTAAAAATTTTTTTGAGAGTCAGTCTCTCACTATGTTGCTCTGTCTGGTCTCAAACTCCTGGCCTCAAGCGTTCCTCCCACCTCAGTCTCCCAAGTTTACAGGGATTACAGACATGTGCCACCATACCCAGCTCATATAGAATCTTTATATGCTATATTATTTATTTTAGGGAATATTCTTAAGTTTTTAGGCTGCAAATTTGATTTAACAAATTCTTTTTTTTTCTTTTTTTCTTTTTTCTTTTGAGACAGGAGTTTTCCTCTTGTTGCCCAGGCCAGAGTGCAATGACATAATCTCGGCTCACTGCAACCTCCGCCTCCCGGGTTCAAGAGATTCTCCTGCTTCAGCCTCCCAAGTAGATGGGGTTATAGGCATGTGCCACCATGCCTGGCTAATTTTGTATTTTTAATAGAGACGGAGTTTCTCCATGTTGGTCAGGCTGGTCTTGAACTCCCGACCCCAGGTGATCCGCCCGCTTTGGCCTCCCAAAGTGTTGAGATTACAGGTGTGAGCCACCGCGCCCGGCCTGATTTAACAAATTCCAAAGTTAATCCATAACTTAGCCCTCTTCTTGATCATTATAGGTACTTTAGGATAAATTCTACCACTTATATTTTAACTAATATTTAACAACTCCTTATATTAGTTATTTGTTATGGTGAATTTTTACTAGAATTTCTTATATACAATTTTAAAGGTTTCTTTATTCACCATTGCTTTTTGTAACATACTCCCTCACTCCAGGTTTTGTCTAAAAACGAATTTATATTACCCTCAATCTTGAGTAAGGCTGGGCACGGTGGCTCACACCTGTAATCCCAGCACTTTGAGAGGCCAAGGCGGGTGGATCACCTGAGATCAGGAGTTCAAGACCGGACTGACCAACATGGCGAAACCCCGTCTCTACTAAAAACACAAAATTAGCAAGGCATGGTGGCATATCCCTGTAGTCCCAGCTACTTGGGAGGCTGAGGCAGGAGAATCGCTTGAACCCAGGAAGAGGGGGTTGCAGTGAGTGGAGATGGCGCCATTGCACTCCAGCCTGGGCAACAAGAGCGAAACTCCATCTGAAAAAAAAAAAAAATCTTGAGTAATAGTTTAGCTGGGTATGGAGTTTTTGTTTATTATTATTGGGATACAGTATAATTGTTATATCACAATTCACTGGTTTAGAGTATACATTTCAGTGGTTATATGCATTTTCTGAGTTGTGTAACCATCACCACAATTAATTTTACAACATTTTTATCAACCCTCCAAAAACCCTGCACTCCTTAGCTGTTACCCCCATCCCCCTCCCTGAAACCACTCCAACTCTAGGCAACCACTAATTAATTTTCTATAGATGTACCTTTTTTGGACATTTCATATAAATAGAAACACAATATGTAGGCCTTTGTCACTGGGCTTCTTTATTTAAGCATAATGGCTTCAAAGTGTATTCAAGTTTTAACAGTGACCAGTATTTCATTTCTTTGAATCATTGTCAAGCAATATTCTTTTGCAAGGATGTGCCACATATTCATACATCAGTTAATGAATATTTTGGTTGGTTTCACTATTTTGCTATTATGATAACTGCTATAAAACAATACATAGATAAATGTACACAATTAATGCTATAAACATTTGTGTACAACTTTTGAGTAAATCTGTGTTTTAAATTCTTTTGGTAAATACCTAGGATTAAAATTACTGGGACTGATGTTAACTTTATGTTCAACTTTTTGAGAAACTATCAAACTGTTTCCCACACACCTGCATCATTTTACATTCCAACCAGCAGTGTACAAACGTTCCAATTTCTCTTCATTCTCACCAACACTTGTTATTGTCCATCTTTTTTTTATTATTGCCACCCTAGTAGGTTTGAGGTGTTGTCTCATTGTGGATTTAATTTGCATTTTTCCAATGACTAATGTTGTTGAGCAGCTTTTATGTGCTTGTTGGTTATTAGTATACTTTCTTTGATGAAATTTAGATCTATTTAGATCCTCTGCTCATTTGTAAATTGGGTTATTTGTCTTTTTATTGTTAAGGTATAAGAATACTTTATAT